GATGTCAAATTTGGAGACAAGATGTCCCACTCTCAAAAAGCACTCAGTTTTTTTTTGTGTTTCTGCATGCAAAGCTTATTAGTAAATTGGTTATTCATTATGTTGCATTTTTAAAGATAAACACTTAGAATGCTCTAGAACCTTAAAAGCCTATTGATCGGATATTTATCGAACTTTTATTAACTTTCCATATATCTTCAAAATCGGGAATATAAGTCCTGTAACACCACTATCTGTCAATGGGTCATCGAAGACGAGGTAATTTCAAAAACGTAGGATCGATAATAGGTGATAAAAATCGTTGGAATTACGGGACTGAGTGAGATGTTTGCTCGAGCGGACGGGAGAAGAAACCTTTTGGGTTGAATGAAACGAACATTTTTGAGTCAGATAGTGTTCAGTGGGGAGAAAAAAAATTGTATTTTTATACGCAACTTAAGCGCAGATCCACTTCCCTTACTAATATATAATTACTACTAGTATTAATATATAACTTTGTAATCATAAGGACCTAAACTTTCAGCCTTTTGATATACAGTGACAGAATGCAGCCGGCGAAATCACAGGGGCACCCTGTCATGCCTTGTTGTGTGATGGAGAGAGGAGTAAAAAAATTTCACTTTCGTAACGCGCTAAATTGCGTCTAAAATTTTCGGGAAATTACCATTGAAGCCCTTACAACTTCGAAAAGACGAACGGATACAAATTTTATAGCACCGCTTAGAATGCATATGTAAAGGTCTAAAAGTACTCTGGATAGCCTAAAATGTGTTTTCAATGCATTTGGGGGGAAACCGTCTTTGGGTGCCCCTGAAATCAGTCTCTACCACATTGTGCGTTACCTTTTGTCCATTTATTTTTCCCTTGACGAATACAAATACCTTCACAGCAAAAGCTTCTATAGCTTCATCGCTATATTCAGTGCGACACTCGTTTATATATCTTCTATTTTGCTTCCATATTTTTGCTCCTCATACGGGCTCTACAAGCCCAAATAATTTTCCCTCACGCCTTCGATGAAATCTATCCTTTCAGGGGCACCCAACGAGAATATAGTTCAAAACCACTCAAACATAACATGTTAAACGTATTTTAGTATTTAAACGGTAGATATAGGCATATTTTTATCCCCTAAAAATTTTTTTATCTGTTCGGATTTCCTAGCTGAAGGTCGAGTGATCCGAAAATTATAGGGATCAAAACTTACCTTTTCGAAAATTTCAGCCAGAAAAAGGGCTCCCGAAAATTCCAGGTGACCTTTCTTAGGGGTAAAAATCCGTTAAAAATAGGCAATTATACTATTTTTTAGATGTTCGAAAATCCTAGGAGAGGCAGGCAAGCAAGAAATTTTACAAAAAAATGTTCCGAAAATTCTAGATATCAAATCGTCTTCCGAACAGACATTTTCCGAAAATTGACGTTGGGTGCCCCTGACCTTTGCCTGTTAATGAGAATAACTGTCCTCACCCTTGCATCACGTTATTTAGGCGTTCTTACGTACAGCGCTTCTTAAATCCAGAGGTTGTTCTTACATCCATACATGGTATTACGTTCAACGGTCCTAATTACATCCAAGGGTCTCACATCCAGGGTTCTTACATCCACGAGTATTACGTCCAGCGCTCTTACATCAAGACGCCGTACGTCGAGAGATGTTACATCCAGGGGTCTTACGTCCAGGAGTCTTAGGTCCAGGAGTCTTACATCCATGGTTCTTTCATCCAGGCGTCTTACGTCCAGAGGTCTTACATCCAGGCGTCTTACGCGCAGAGGTCTTACATCAGAGGGGTCTTACGTCTAGTCGACTTACGTCCAGAGGTCGGACATCCGAAGGTCTTACGTTTAGCGGTCTTGCATTCTGTTGTCTTACATCTATGGCTCTTACATCTAGGAGTATTACTTTCAGGGGTCTTATATCCAGGCGTCTCACGATCAGAAGTCTTACCTCTAGGAGTCTTACGTCCAAAGTTGTTACATCCAGATGTCTCACGTTCAGGGGTCTTACGTTCAGCTGTCTTACGTCCAGGGGGAAAACGTTTAAGGGTGTTACATCCAAGGGTCCTACATCCATGGTTCTTACATCAAGGGGTCTCATATCCAGGAGTCTGTCTTACTTTCAGGAGTCTTACGTCCAGAGGTATCGCATCCAGGGCTCTTACGTTTAGTTGCCTTACATCCGGGGGTCTTACATCCAGGAGACTTACGTCCAGAGATGTTACATCCAGGGCTCCTACATCAAGTGGTCTTACGTCCCGGCAAGGGTCTTATTTCTATGGGTGTTACATCCACGGGTCTTACGTCTAGAGGTCCTAAATCAAGAGGTCTTACGTCCAGTGGTCTAACGTAGAGTGGTCTTTCGTCCATGGGTCTACCGTTCAGCATTCTAACATCTAGGGGTCTTACATCTAGAAGTCTTACGTCCACAAGTCTTACGTTCAGGGCCGAGTTGTTCAAAGCTGGGTTAAGATAACCCAGGGTTAGTGCGATATTTGAATTCAGATATGAAAGCTTAGAAAGCATTTCAGTTTTAATGCTTTTTGTCTACAAGTTGATGATTGGAAGCTCTAAAAATAGCACAGAAAATTATCCGAGAAAATGCTTTTGAACACAAGAAAAAGAGACCTGGGTTAAATTTAACCCCGGGTTAAGGGCTAATCGGCCTTCGAACAACTGGGCCCAGGGGTCTACGTTCGGTTGTCTTACATCCAGGAGTCTTACGTTCAGGGCTCTTACATCAAGGGGTTTTACATCCACGGATCTTACGTCCAGGCTCCTAACGTTTAGGGGTCCTAGCTACATCCGAGGGTCTTACTTTTAGGGGTCTTACGTTCAAGGGTCTTACGGTTAGGGGTCCTACATCCAAGGGTCTTACGTTTAGGGGTCTTACGTACAAGGGTCTTACGTTTAGGGGTCTTACGTACAAGGGTCCTACGTTTAGGGGTCTTACATTCAGTTGTCTTACGTCTAGGGCTCTTACATCCAGGATGGTTTTGTCCAAGGGTCTTACGTTCAAGCGTCTTACTTCCAGTTGTCTTACATCCAGGGGTGTTACATTGAGGGAGGACATATTCGGGGTTTTTACATCCAGGTTTTAAATCAGCATTTGCTATAATAGTGACGATTTATATAAGTTTTTTTTCCATTTGTTTTCTAATGCATTTTATATGTGTGCCCGCTTTTCCCAGCCACTGATAATGATCCCTACATTCAGGTTCGTAAATCTTTACCTCCAGGGGTTGTGTAATTTGAATAAACAGGGGCACCCAACGGGAAATTTTGAGAAAAAGACCTAAAAACAACAACAAAGCGTGAATAAAGTTTTCTGAGACTATTTTAAGCATTTTGGGAGATTGCTGGAAAAAAATTATCTGTTCTTCACTCCCAGCAAGATTGATGGGAGAGTTCCCAGCCAGCAACCTGACTTACTGGGAAGTTTCATAGGGCACAATTCAGATCTTGAGTGGTAAGTAACCCATACAAGTAACCCGTAGCAGCTATTCTAGACTTCAAATCCCCTCTGACACCCTGAATTATCTTTTTCCTAGCAACACTTTCCTTCCAAGGACTATTATTTCTTTCACATCTCCCAGCCAGCAAAAATGTGCCTGAAGAACAGATAGTTTGAGGAACAGATCCATTGGGTGCCCCTGAATAAAGGTGTTGTAAAATCTTACTTCCAAGGGTTTTGAATACGTTCACGGGTTGTACAGTAGAACGTCTCCACAACGGCCACCTTAGGGACAGAAGAAATTGGCCGTTGTGGAGAGATGGCCGTTATGGGGAGGTAGGGGTGTAATATGTCAAATTGGGAGTACAGTATGCCACAATGGTAAGCCAATCATATCGTATAATGTATAGAGATAAAATAAAATTTTTAGAATCTTGAGTAATTTTTTGAATCAAAATGTTAACGTAACAAAACTAGCAAGGTTCACAACATTCAGGGGCACCCAACGTCACTTTTCGGAAAATATCTGTTCGGAAGACGATTTGAGATCTAAAATTTTCGGAACATTTTTTGTAAAATTTCTTACTTCCCTGCCTCTCTTAGGATTTTCGAACATCTAAAAAATGGTATAATCGCCCATTTTTAACGGATTTTTAGCAATAAAAAGGTCACCTAGAATTTTCGGGAGCCTTTTTTCTGGCTGAAATTTTCGAAAAGGTAAGTTTTGATCCCTATAATTTTCGGATCACTAGACTTTCAGCTAGGATATCCGAACAGATGAAGAATTTTTACGGGACAAAATTATGCCTATATCTACCATTTAACTACTAAAATACGTCTAACAATGCTATGTTTAAGTGGTTTTGAACTATATTCACGTGTGGTGCCCCTGAACATTCGCCATAAGTATCGTAGACAGTTTATGCTTACAGCTGGACTGCGGCAGTATAAATGGAACACAATCAAAATACGATTGCCGTGATTAATCATCAACGCGCCATACGGAACAAATTTCAGTTAGCTGAAAAAACTAGCCGTTTCCGAGAGCCGGTTATTTTGGCAGTTGAGGACATACTTTAGTGGCCGTTGCCGTTGTGGAGAGGTTTAAACAAGAGTCAATGTATGGACTGTTCGCCGGGACAAAAACAAGTGGCCGATGTGGAGAGGTGCCCGTTAGTGGAACTTCGATTGTATTACTTTCATTCAGTTAGGGTGCCTGTTTTCAGCTACTGCTACAGACGATCCTGCGGCTCTTATCTTTTTACGCATATGTAGCTGAGGGGCATCTGGTCTCGGCCCACGAAGCCGTTTTTTCTCGTCACGCAATGCTCCTCGGGAGGAGAAGACTGTTGCGTGACGGACTAATGGCCCGGGAAAGGAGAATCAGGCTCCCTCATCAATTTAGTTGTTTTCCAGAAGACAAGAATACTGAATAAAATATACATTAACAAAATAAATAACATAAAGAAAACAGAACCATTTTCAAGTACCGTTTTTGTGCGCGTTTATTTCTTTTTCTGTCTAACAACAGTTATTATCTCTCAACGGATGATCTCAGTAAAACACTCTTTACTTGAGAAATATCTGAAACAACGATTTAGAGCTTAAACTAGTTTTCATCGGCAGCACAACTAGTTCTGAGTCTGTGAAAACGATTTCGCACACTACATCAGAGCTGATAAGGCAATGGATTACGTGAACGTTTGAAACTAGCTGAATTTAACGTCGCCGGCAGATCTTATCTCTATCCTCATACCTATCGTCTATCGATAAACTAAGGTTCCCTGTGTTCAACGCGGGGCGGTGGTGCTTCATGGTGCTTCTCGTCTTCATTCGTGTTCAGCTTGGAAGAGATTCCCTGCCACAGGATTACCAAGATTGTACTTTGAGGATAGATCACGAGCTTTCCGCGATCCCCGCTCAAAGCCAGGCCTAAAAAGAAAGTACGTTTTTTCTGTCAAAAACAACGTGTTGAGGAGAAAAATTAATGGAAAGTAAGGAATAATTTCAGTGTTTTGTTAAAAAAGACTACTGAGTGTTCTCAAACCAAACCATATACCGCCTAAATCCTCTATTAATTCCCCTTTCCTAAATATTCTTCACTAATAAATGACAACGGTAAACTTCGTGTGGACTGATCCGGGATGGTTTATTTACCAACTGGAAGTTCGGATTTGATTCTGATCCTCGGCTGCATGACCTCCAACCTTCATGTTCTTGAACTTCTCCACATTGTATTCTAGTTCTTTATGGAGAACTGATACCATCGTCTTTTCTAAATTAAATAAGCCCCCCTCTCAAATAAGCCCCGCTCAAATGGGCTTGAAATAAATAAGGCCCCTGGGGGCTTAATAGAGGATTTACAAACATTAACCACAAAGGAAGATAATACGAAAGGGAACAGATACCAGAAAAGGTTTGATCTTGGATAAAAAGCTCGCTGTAGGTACTAATAGTATCCTTCATTCGAAAGGGAGGGGGGAAATCGGGCGCACAAGAATCACGATGGGAGCACCGGGACAGGAGAAGGCTAGGGCACTATAGAATCATACGAACTCTGCTTTACGTGCCGTGATTTTCCCGGCGAAGGAACTGGAAGTTTTGATTAAACTTCATTTGACAACTGGGTGTTAAAGAAATATATTAGGATTTGTAGATTTAATGAGGGGAGGAATAAAAAAAAAACTAATTAGCCTGCTTGGGGGCCCCGGTTAATTTTTTTGGTTAGTTTTTATAGAGCACACGCTTGTCCTCGACATTTCTCCCTTCGCTCTAACAAAACCGGCAATTGCTACTCAGGGTAAAAAGACTAATGTTTGAAACCTTTTATACAAAATGACGACATCAAAATCCTGCTGTTTTATCCAAGACAAGTTTACAAACATTTGTAAACAATATCAACGACAGGGGCGGATCCAGGATTTTTTTTAGGAGGGGGTGCACTCGTCTCTTGCTCTACTTCGACACCAATAAACCACATAGTTTTTTTTTTGCAGAATACCAGTTGTATTAGAAAACCGCAGGTCATCTGGGGGGGGGGTGCGCACCCCCTACACCCTCCCCCTAGATCTGCCCTTGAACGACTAGAGGTTTCCCGGTTTCCCGAGCTGTCCTTCTTCAGAGGAACGTAGAGGATTTGGAAGAAATTTGTGCGAAACAACGGCGCCCGCGTGCGCCCCCTTTTTTGGCACCTTTTACTTCTAAAGCGAGCTTAAAGTAAGCTACTTGCACACTAATTACTGTATGGATTTTAAATTGTAATACATAACGAAGAACGTAAAAGGGGTCAAGCACTGATAATAAGGTCTAGTGTTTCTACTGTTCTATAAAATCGAGTGGATACTTTTTGAAAGTTACTTTATACCGTTACGTAGATCATGTACTCATTGAGTAAATTATCCTTCACAGATAGTTTAAAAAACTGGCCTTTAGTACCCGCTCTAGTCAATTAAACGATTTGCATTGTATCACATGATATGCAACGCTGTAGTTGGACATAGGGTGCTTAAACTAGCATCTACATGTACGACGGCAATGGCAGCCAAAACTTCACAATCAAAAAGAAGAATTCGCACTGCTTCAAACTTCTGGCTCTTACTCCATCTCGTTTAATTTGTTAGATGTTTCGAATTTTTGTGGAGCTGAATACCAAAGGACCACTGTACCAAGTTTAGAAAAAGAAAATTTAAATCGTTTTCCCACGTTCACTTCCCTTTATAAGACTCCGTGAAATGAGGAAGTTTCACGTCGTAGTCGTGCAACAACGGCAAAAAATGTACAAAAAAGTGTGATGCACGTGCAAAGCTGTTGTTTCGCTGATCCAAAACTTATCGGCTTTTTTGCCGTACTTGCTGCTGTCGCCGTAGTAGTTGCTTAAGCACCCTTTTTATACTCACTTGCTGCACACAACAACATCAGTGTAGGTAATTTTGCCGGGCTGTTTGTATGCCAAAAATATGTAGCGATGAAGCTTAGTTCCTTTGGGTGGACCGCTCCCAACATAGTCAAGCTTCACCTCTCCTTTGCTTACATCACAGCCTGGGATATTTACCACAAGCCAATGGTGCCATTCACGGAACTTAGGATGGTGACGGCTTGGAGCGTCAGGGTCTGTCAACACAGAGAAGAGTTACTCAGTCAAGTTACCCCAAGTCATCTTGCCTTAAGTTATGTTGCCCAAACCTTCATGGTAAACGTATGTCACCCAAAATGTAAGCATAGCCACACAGCCATGAACACACTTAACATGAATTCTTTGAAATAAGTCTGTCTCTCATAAACTACATATCACAGTACTACACAACATAAAGGACAATCGGTGATAGGTTGGAGCCCATGAGTAATTTTGAACACAAGTAGGTTGAGTATGATTGTCCGGGTGAACTTCTGTTGTTGTTGACAGTGACTGACGTTTTGACAACCTTTGCAGTAGTACCCTTTTGACACTGAAGATGACCACTGCACAGGTTGTTGAAACCTCAGTCAGTGTCAACAACAACAGTCCTATTCAGGACTATGATCACCCGGATGATCACACTCACCCTACAAAGGACAACAGAAAACAATGGAAATGAATCTACACCTAGTACTTATATACCAGTTGCCCATGCACAAAATCAGGACCCACTCTCTAGGTTGTTTATGCCTGATCATGTAGGAGGTCAGTCCCCATAATAGACACCACTCGCCCACTCACCAAAAAAATATAAATTATTATTTTATTTCACATAAATTTGCATGTCCTTTCTTAACCTCTTTCAAAGAACCGGCCTTACCTGTCATCAAAAGAGTGTAAAATGCACCTTCTTCAACAGGCCAGGAGATGGATGTGGGAGCATTTTTCACCTACAACAAAATTTGACCCAAGATGACCATGAACTGTCAAATAAATTAAGCAGTCTGCTTTAAAAACTCCAAAAAGCATATAACAATAATTGTTATATGCTTTTTTAATTATTAAAGGATTGGACAATTTATGCACACAACTGAGGACACAATATTTATAAAATATTTGGTGTTTAAGGTCCATAAAAAGAAAATGGGAACTGGTGCATCGATCTGTTTGTAGTTTTAAAGATATTTGTTGTTTTCTCCTTAAAGCCATTTAAAGAATTAAAATTTATCACCTGAGGGCTGTCATTGACACTACGTTCAAAAGGTACCGGTCAAATTTTTGACTGGTCAATAATTCCTACCTTTAGGTGTTCCATTCACACAAAACCAAGTTCACCATATAAAAATTTGAATGCCTAGCAATTCAAAAATTTGAACACTAAAACTGTGGTCAGTACGGTCAAAAATTTGAATAGCAAGGTGTGAACACTGTGCCCAGTTAAATTTTTGTACAGTATGGCAAAGGCGTGGTTGCATGGATGCATGGTTACACCGCCGAATTGCAAACAAATATCGCTAGCATGGGATTTATGAGTTGTGTTATTACTCACTTTGCTTGGAAAATAATATTACGGTTCAACAGTCCCGTGTGAACAGTGGAAAGACACTGAATTGTTCTGTGTAAACAAAGTGTCCTGTTAAATTTTTCAGTCGGTCAAAAACTTGACCGGTAGCGTGTGAGTGTAGCCTAAGATTTCAAGTTGCCGGGTATAGTTATGTAATTAGTAGGTGGGTAGGTGCGCAAATGAATTATTAGCTTGGTAGTTCTTTAGGTTATATTTCCCTTTTTGTTTCATTCATATATTTACCTGAGATGGCTTCAGTACATTCCCCATGTTGACTTCCAGGTCTCCATACTTCACCTATAAGCACATGAAAGACAGAACAAGATCTATTAAGATTGCTACATGACTACCTGAAGGCTAACACACAAACCTGTTGTCAACATTATTGTTTTGCTGTCTTTGATGATTTGTTCAACTACACTATATGTTTCTGATAGCTTGCAGAAAGCTTCATGACAACATTACGAGACTCCGGCAGGAGTGGCTGTGAAGGAGACTATAAATTTTAGTGATGAGCATATAGTAACAACACCCCCAAGTGGTCCAAAAAATGCTTCACATGAGATGCCCCCCCCCCCCCCTTGCCCCCCGGGTGCGGTTGGAAGTGAACGTGCACTAATTGTGTCCCTTCCTACACTCAACCCTTTACACGTAATACTCAACACTATCGTAAATCTGTTGTCTCAAAACAGCATTTGAACGTCAGCCTACGCATATTTTACATCTTAAGACCCCAATGAAATACAACAATATAGCGTGGACTATAAAACGTCTTTTATTCTTCTGCGTCTTCTGCAGGCGAAGCTTTGCAGCTGAATTCTGCCGTTCAGAAGCTGATAACCAATTCAAGTTCTTACCTCCCTGTACAACTTGAGTGAAACTTACCTTAATAACGTCAGCAGGAGCTACATCTACGACATCAGGAGCAACTTCGTGAGCTTCCATTCTAGAGCTGTTTTCCCTGTTTTCCTTTCTTGTCTTTCTTGACTTTCTTCACGGACGGACAACAGTTGTCACGCACTCGTCACGCACAAGTGTTTCCTTCCCCATACCTACCCCCTTAAGATCCCACGAACTACCCAGAGGTGGCAAAAACAAGCTCTCCTTCTTTTTGACAGGGAGGATCGCTCCTTCCTTTTCTCCCTTTCTCATTTTCAATAAATAAATAAATAACAAATAAATAAAAAAAGGAAGTGAATAACGAACACTGCGAGAACGGCGCAACACTTTATTCGAACAAGCATTCCATCTAGGGGACCCCTGTGATTTTTCTCATCCGGTAACCTAAGAGCAGGAACTGGTGCAAAACCGAAACTGGAGCAAAAGTAAACAATATGGCTGCCGCGGCCGTGCCAATGCTGGACGATATAATCAAGGAATACCTCGTATTTCGTGGGTTTTCAAGCACTTTAAAAAGCTTTGAATCAGATCTAAAAGCAGACAAGGACAAGAGCTTTAGGGTAGGTTGTTTTTCTTTAGTATTATAGAGCAAATATTCTTAACTCTGTGTGTCATGTGAGCGCTGTCAGCTGATCTGATCTAAGCAGCTGTCAGTTGTTCAGGAATACAAAAAAGCCTAGTACATGCGAAGGTTTTCATGCAGTAAGTTAAAAAATGGATAATAGACTTAAAACATTTGTATGGTAAGTTTCTGTACAGACCATAAATATGGTATACGATTGCTGCATGCATAATCAATATTAAATGTATGGGCCTGTAAGGAACCTCAAATACATGTACCTCATATTATCCGAGTTTGAGATCCATATATACCGTAAATTACGGACCGAGTTTTTTCCCATCGATTTGTGTCCCAATTCCAAAGGGTGTGGGGCATTAATGACCATTAATCAACGGAAAAAAATCTAGGATCCATAATTTACAGAGTCTTCCGGTTCGGGAGAACAGGAAACAAGGGCAGGAGTTGAGAGATTTGACAGTCATTTGACAGGAATTACAAAAAGAAAGTATTTCTTGGCTTACAAAGAGACAGGACATTACCACTGAGAATGAAATCAAAATGTAAATGCTCCATGTCGAAATGGTTCATTCGCAGGGATGTCACTAAGATTTCAAGTTGCCGGGTAAATACAACAAGTAGGCAGGGAATCAAACAGCTAGGGATTTCTTTTGGTTTTGTTTTTATTCTATTTTCCTATGAAAGTAGCCCGGGGGACCGCGTTCATAATAGCTGGGGGAAGTCCCCGGCTCTCAATAACAGCCCTGATTCGATTGTCCAACGAAGAGCACTGTAAGTTTTAGCTCACCAATGCAACATTGGAGTACTTTGAAAACTGAATACTGTGTCTAGATTAAAATTAATTCACTTCCTTCTTTCTTTCATTGGTCTTTGATTAAACACTGTAAATGGCAACAAAGCTTGTCAAAATGAGCAAGTGCCAGTATGTGTGTTAATTTCATTTGTCAAAGGAATTGTTCATTTTTCTTTCGCCAAATGTCTTGAATCTCTGTCAGTCCATTCTAGTCTGCTTTAATAACTGTAACCTGTAATAAAATTTCTGATCACCGATTAGAATCCTCTTCTTTGGTTCTTTGGTGAGATTATGATTCAATTTCTTCATCAGCTTTTGTTCTCAAGTCAATATCAAAGTCCTTGCATTTGGGGTCTTACAGATGTACATGTATGGGCACTTTCTTAAATCCTTTTCTAGCCTTAAGATTTAGAACTGCAAAATGGGCATTTGCTTTTGAAATTATCCTTTTTGGTCTGCACAGTAAGTTATGGCCTGCAAATTGAACAAAAATCTGATTTTTTTTGTAGTTTACTTAGACAGTGAGTATGAAAATGATGTTATTTTGTAGTACAGTAATATTATAGACATCCTGCTAATATGTTTTTTATGTTTAATAACTTTCAGGTGGACAAAATAGTGGATCAGTTGTATCAGTATATTTTAGCCTATGACATTTTGGGTCTTAGAGACTATTGGGACTATTTAAATGACAGATTCTTCAAAAGACTGGACTATCAACATTATTCAAATGTCAAAAAGCTGGAAATGTGTCTTCTGAGACTCTACATTGTTCATGCTCTACAAAACTCCAAAAATGATAAAGTTGTAGAGTTTTTTGAGAAGTATACTGCAGAGTTACAGACACAAACAGAGTGGAGAGAATGGTTTGGTATGTTGTTTTCCTGGTGTTTAAATTATTTTTTCTGATAAATTTGCAAGTTTTTTAACAATATACTCAAGAGGAAATTATAGTACTGTGTTTACATTTGTATAGTAGATATAACCAAATTATTAGGTGTTTTCCTTAGTATTCTGGTAGCAGTTTTTTTCAGGGGTACAATTTTGTGATAATGCACACATGTAGACACAATCAGACTGACGGAATATTTTAAATGCACCTATCCAGTTGTTCATTTCAGGCAGCCATGTAAGTACAAACATACACGTACACTCGTTTCAGCTAGCCATAACGACGCCTAAGGTTATCTTTATATTAAGAACTCTCCTTACAGATAACCCACCCAGCCAAGAAAGGTTGGCCACACCACGTACCAGTGTCTATGTGACCCCGACTCTTTTCCAACAGTGCTGTGGGTTCTTTTACATCCCATAAGAACCAGATAAGTGAAAGTGCTGTGAGACAGGACCTCCGCTTTTTTGTCCTTATATGAGAAGACTAGAAAAAATAACCATTTGCAACACTTTCTTCTCAGTTATTTAAAGACCCTGAGTGTTGGTCCAGCCTGGGTTTGAACCCCGTGACAATCCCGCCTCAGTGGACGGGCACTCTCCCAACCGAGCTAACCAGGCAGCGGTTTCTTATTGGTTTGCTGTTTGAATTGAAAAGGTTTTTTTTTTGTTTTCAGCAATTCCTTTCATCAAGAATCCAGAGCAGAATGTTGCATTTGAGATGTACTTTCAGAGAGCCTGGCAAGATACATTTTTTCTTTCTCTCTACAACTTTTTGATAACATTGTTCCATCACATGCATATCCTTTATCAATTATGAGGAATTTGTAACCAGACAGTTGTCTGGTATATACTGAATCAGAATCCTGATCTTAATCCCTCACAAAAGCGCGGTTCTTTCTCCATACGAGTTACCAGCACGAGAAATTAGTGGTTCTCAATTCAGGCTACACAAATATGAGCCTACACGGGCATGTACACGTACTGCATATTGACAAAATCATTATTATCAAGTAATAATGTAATAATGATTAAAAAATTAGAAGGAACTGAAACTGTCCTTACAACCAACTTTTCCTTTCTCATCAAAAATTTCCTTTACCGTTGGTATTTCAGAGGGAAGGGAAGAACAGGAGCTTGAATGATGCTGGAACCAAACCTTATTATGATAGTCCATTAATTTTTGTTAAGATTGTCTTATTGGCATTAGCCACACCACCTCCTGACAGAGTAGAACTCTTTAGCTTGTATGTTTTGTTTTCAAACTTTGTTTTATTCACGTGCATATCCACCCATAATATTTTGAAAGGACAAAGGGTTAAGTTCTCCTGGGACCTGTGCTGGAAAACAAAACATACAAACTGTACAAGCTAAAGAGGTCTTTTGGCCTCCTGTAATGTTATGTAACAGTGACAACTTCTATTTTTTAAGTTTTTAAAGTAATATTAAGTTGCCCCTAAATTGTTTTACATTGTTTTTAACACAATATTGTGGTTTGCAAGCTTAAAATGAAGCTTCAAAACTTTCAGAATATACTTCAGATATACAATGTACAATGTATATTGTACCTGAATTAATTCTTGATTAAAAATATGTCACCTCTACCACTAGTTTTGAATGGGAAAGTATGATCTATTTTTGGTTGTGTATTCTTAACAACTATCACCCATGCCAACAATTCTTAAGTATGACGAGGAGCGTGGGAAGCTGCAACGATTACAACAGGAGGTTTTGAAGCTCAAGGAACAGGTTGTAGCCCTGGCAGAAGAGGCAGCGCAACTGCAACGTCAGAAGGCTAAGCTTGAGCAGGAGCTAACTGAGACGCAGAGAAACAGAACTGATACTGTTGAAGAGGAGGATTTGGATGAGTTCTATGTTGTTAACAGGTAATTACTGGTAATTGAAGGGTTTTGTGCAAAGAGGATGAGTTATGTTTTGTCAATTTTCACTTTTTTTGCCGGATCGAGGTGATTTTTGGATTTTTGACGGGCTGACTTGTTTTGACATGACAAACATTGTTCTGTATCTTTTATTCTACTTTGTTTTTGAGAAATAACGTATGCAAAAAAAATGCTGTTTCATACAATGGTGTCTTGAAAAGTCAATGAAAAGAAGTGAAGCATGAGGCTTATATCATTATAATGATTATTACTGGTCAAGTTTCCTGTGCAGTTAAATTTGGAATTTCAGCTAGTTTTAAGTTGAGCCTTGGAGGTCATTTTTATCCAAAGCATGAAATCAGCTTAAGTCTTAAAGTGGTGCCTTTGTGCATGGAAATGCAAGAGCAGTTTATTGAATGGAATGTAATGTTGCTTTCTACCTTTCACAGGCCACAAAAATTTCTGCCTACCATGCAAAAGAGGCTTTCAAAGATGATCTTTAAAGACAAGCAGGACAAGAACAAGAAAGGAAAAGATCCAAAACAACAACAGCAACAGCCACAACAGCAGGTCCAGGGGGAAAATACACAGTCTAAAATAAACAAACAGCAGCTTCTCAGGCAACAACAACAACAGATACAGGTAAGAACCTTTTATCAGAAAGAAAGAATCTGGAGTTGCTGAGGGAACACTCCATTCAGTTTTGTTTGTCTGTGTACGGGTAAGGTTCTCTAACCCTAGTGGCTTTTTTAAGTGAATAATGCTTGGCAGCCTTTTCAAGTTCAAAAACCAAAACATGACACCCTATTGAAAGTAGAGAAAAATATGCAATCCAACAAGACTTTTTTATGAGTATAATGAATGATGGTGCAGTTAATGATAATGATAATTTTTATAGAGGAAGCTCCCCTCACAGACATCACATGAGAGGTTCTTAACGTCGAAAAAGATGAAATAATTTAAAAAATACAAAATGATGTTTGGATACATCTTTCAGATACCCTAGAGGGGAGGGGAGGGGACAGGGTTTGCACAGTCTTGAAAAGTCCTTGAATTTTTGGGGAAGTCCTTGAAAAGTCTTTGAATCCCATTTTCCATTGAAAATTCCTCAAATTTCTGTGCAAGTCCGTGAATTTTCTTCAACATTGACTGAAGTATGCTGAAAAGTGATTTTTAATGCTTTTTGGTTGTCCGAGGTAGAATATAAATCATAGCTCAGAGAACTTAAAGGCGATTTACGTAAAGCGTTTTTTGTTTTATGCAATAATTAACTATCAATAAGTGTACTGAATAAATAATGTAGAGGAGTTGGTGGAGTAAGCACTTCAAGCCTTAAAATCCTGTTAGATTGAACTGGGAAAAATGTGCATTTCTGTAAAATTTGTAATATTACATTCCTGATGCATTGTACATGTAGCTGGTCCTTGAAAAGCCCTTGAAAAATGGCCGGCCATTTGGAGAAAGCTCAGAAGATTTTCAAATCAACCCCCCAATTCATCGTAGCCTTTCAGAGATGACCCCTCATAAATTGTACACATTGTGAAAGTGATCCCCTCCTGATTGCTGTGGAAAGTACTAATATTCTACAATACGACTACAAATCATGCCGAAGTTCACCACGTACTTTATCTACAGACGGTGTTTACTATTAACGGCTGTTACGTTCAATTCCTGATGGATGCTCATTAATACTGCTTTGTACCACTTTCATGAAATTTGTTAAAATGACCCCCCCCCCCCTTAGGTACATGTAATGCTCCCTTATCTGAAAATGACCCCACAAACCAATCCAGATTTTGAACATGACCCCCCAACAAAATGGCCTCCCCCCATCACAGCCCCTTGATCTCACTCATCTGTGTTATAATCTGATCATTGAATTTGACAGCTGTTACAGGAACAACAGAAACAGCTAACCTTGCTGGAGGAGGAGCAATTAAATTCAAGTGTACTTTCTGACAAACCCCCAGAAACTGAAAAGCAGACCAGCTCTCTTCAGGAAGAGGAAGATACTAAGACCTCAAAGTCTGTGCTTGCAAAATCCCAAAGCTTAGAGCGCTGTGACGTTAGCCAAGAAGACGGAGAGAAGTCTGTTTCTTCCATTCGTAGGAGCAAAACTTTACCAGCAAGAATTAAGATGTCTCCTGCTGATCAGGCAGATGATAAAACAGGTGGTTAGAGCATAGATAAGCTCAATTTCCTTATCCTTACTAATTTTTGCATATTCATGATTCTAGGGAAAAAAAACTGAACAAATTTTGCAGATTGGTTTAATATCCCCAACCGTACCCTATTTTACAAAGAGCTGGAATTAATACAAATTTTAAACAAGGAAAAAAAAGAAAACATATATAGCTCCAACAAATTCCCCCCAAAATTAAAACAACATGATCTAGTAATAACATCATGAAAATTGGCTAAGATTTTGAGAACTGTGTTAAGCTTCCAACACTTTTTGAAAATGTAACCTGAAATACATTATAATGTTAATTTTTTTGAAAAACATTCCGACATCTATGTATAATTGTTCTGTATTTTTTTCCAAATGTGAAAATCCAACAACAACACTAACAACAATAATTTTATTTACCCATTCTTGATGAAATTGGGAGAGGGAAAATTGGAGTATGTGGAGAAAAACCAGTCAGAGCAAGGCGTGGCCTGCCAGTTGTGTACCCAGTCCACCTTGGTGGGAGGCTATTTCTCACACCACTGCATTGTCCTTGCTATGTATAGTGAACAAAACATTATAAGGTACACTTGAGTACATCCACAGATTATAGCTCACCCAGCCTGTTGATGCATCTGAAATTGTGTACATTTATAGCCTTATGAATGTCACAAAATTTATCGTTATCTTTTGCTCCATTTTTAGATGATTTGAACCCCAAAATGGCTCATTTTGAAGGTATTTGCCATGATTGATGAACTGATTTACGTTGTTTTCCCTATTAGGTGTTTAAATATATATGCAGGTACTGTGATCAGACTGCACTTTGCTATAATTGGAACCATTATACAGGGACATTGATCAGCACTTGAATAATAAAAATGTACTGAGAAGAATAATAACAGTTTGTTAAACTCTTGTGGAGTAACTTAATGAATTAATGAGTTATAATACAATGAAAACTTAATAAAGTTACCCATGTCTATTTCTGTATACATTAAGTAAAAATTATATACACCACATCAGAATATGCATCTTATTTTTTAAAAATACTTAAAAGTGAAAAAGTCTTCAGTGCGCTTCGTTCTACAGGTGGTAACATTTTTGTAAAAGTACAGCTGGTCCGATTTGTGCCTTAGGGTGTAGGGGCAGGTATCATCTAGGGGTGTTGGTAGAAGAGGGTGAGGAGGGTAGTTTAAGTCCTTCATTTTGCACATATACTCCTTGCATATAAAACAACATGTAGGACAATCCCTCATTTGTGAAAATTTCAACTGAAAAGCGTGTTTGTTCATTCTCTATTTTAACTTTATTAGTCAAAATTTTAATTTGTGGGGAACAGGTTTTCAATTGAGTGATTCATATTAGAAAGGTTTTGAACTAACCTGTCAACACTCTCCATTTTCAGGTTCTAATGAACACAAGTCCAAGCCTTTTATTTTTCTCAGTCAGGTATGTTTCTTGTAAGAATTTTGGTCTGGTTTTACGAACACACGTTAATATCTTTTTGTTGTAACAACAGACTGTGAGCATTCCCCTGTTCCTTGTCATACCAGTAAGCATGAAAGGTGGTGATAATTATGCGATTTCACAGCAGACGTGTTTGCTAATGCTCACCACTTGCTTGATTCAACTACGGTCAACTCCTTTTACAGCAGACACTGTAGGGACCTTGAGTTAGTGTCCTCATCAGGAAGAGTCTGTAATAGAATAGGGCTGATGTGATAATTTCAGCGAACGTCTGTATGATTTGTTTGGGCCCGGGATTTAGCTGCTGTTTGTATTATTGGGGTGTCTGTTATAGCAAGGTGTCCTCAAGGCGAGAGTTAACTGTACTCCTGATTTGGAAGAAAGCTTGAAGTGATTTCTGAAAACTGCTAACTGCTCCTTGTGCTTAGTTTTATGTGCTGTATTTTTTGCTCATGAGACGCAGCATTTTTTCTAAATCTGTTGTCTCTCGGTTTATAGGATTGTAAAGCAAAGGGACAATTTGACATTAGATCAGTTGTCACTGAGAATTCTGTTCCACATTTTTTCATTTTCTCCCCATTAGAGAAATATATAAGAATAGAAACCTCGAGATTGCTCACAGTCTGTAGCAACAATAATGCATTCAAGAGTTTAGACACCAATCTTAAAACAGTGGTAAATTGGATGCTAAAGGTTCAGATTAGTTTTTGTCTTTTAATGTTGTAATTTATTGTTTTAACAGGATGAATACAGAGAGCACCATTCACCTATTGTTCATTGTCGGTTTTCTTCAAGTGGAAGAATGATCGGAAGTGCTGATGCAGATGGAATTGTAAAGTAAGAGGAGAAATTCATTTTCCATTGTCATAATCTCAGTTTCAACATGAGATAGTGAAAACTAAGAGACAAAGCATCTGGTCCCAGTTGTTCAAAAGGTGGATAACACCATATCCATTGGAAAATGCATTTGTGTCACTAATGCTTATCCTCTGGATAGTTTTTTATCCAGTATATAAGGTTTGATCCCGGGGGCACTTGGGTATTTCTTGGGTGGGTATGTGCCACCTGGGACTCCAAATTGGCACCCCGTTCTAAAACAATTTCCCCAAAAATTGATACCCCGTTTTAGAAATGGGCCAATTTTTTATACCCCGTTCTAGAATTCGCCCTAAAACTGATACCCCGTTCTAGAAATGGGCCAATCTTTTATACCCCGTTCTAGGGTGCAACAAGAGTACAACAGTTTGATTGTTAACGCATTGAACCGTATTTTTAAAAGCAATCTGTCCTTGAATAAGAAAAGTCAAATGGCTGCTTACAAAACTGGAGCTTTCTCACGTTCGAAATATTATACCCCGTTCTAGAAAACGCCTCTGAAATGGATACCCCGTTCTAAATCAGGAGCTTCAAAATCACGACCCCGTTAGGCGGCACATACCCGTATAGGTAATGTATGGGAGTTCACTCTCCGGGGGTTTGATCCAATATTTGAACAACCAGATCCTAAAAGAATAATCCCATTGTTGGGAGAGCCAAAATCACTGATACTGCATTATTTGCCAAGCATAAGCTCCGGATGGCTATATTTTCCCCGAGCTCTATTTATGCTATTGGTATGGTCCGAGACAAAGTTTTATTATATCCATTTTGAAATCACTGGTGATCCCTGCAATGTGATTGGCTCTCAGCAGTGTGATTTATTCACGAATCACACTATTTTTTGCTCTTCTAAAGTTACATTTGTTCTAAATTGCACCATTATTCATGTTCTAACTCATGTCATTTCTGTTTTAAATCGCGCCATTTTCGCTCTATATTGCATTATTTCTGTTTCGGGTACAAAATGAGATGTAGAAGCCTTTTTGTTTCTGCTTTTCAACAAACCGGCTACTTGATCAATAAAATATTGCTACTGATTGAATTCTGCGTTTCCAAAATGGCTGTAATAAAGTGGTAACTGAACTTCATGTCGTGCAATTTTGGACTGAAATCATACTTGTGATTTCAAATTGAACCCAGGCTGGGCGCTTGTCTGATTTTCAAATTACACGTATGATTTCAGACCAAACTGCCCTCCACTCAGTTCAATTACCATTATTTATGGGCAATAAAAGCTAGCAATGAATTTGTCCAGCTAAGGTGACACTGAGCTACTTGAACAACATTTGAGCAATGTTTATAATGTCAAGTTTAATGAATGTATTCAGGTTTTCCCTTGTAAAGAATTTTTGGAGACCACTACCTATAATTTGGACAGATAGGTGGAGTTTGATTTCCTTATTGTTACATGGATGTTGTTTTCAGAGTTTGGACACATCATCCTGATATTCAGACACATTCAACTATAATGTCAAAATCTCCTCTGCTATCCCTGGAGTGGGCTCCTAAACCAGACAGACTGGTAAGATAATTAATTGTACATCATTGTAATTGTTATCATTGTTTTCGTCATCATCATGCAATGTGGTGTTTCTAAAGAATTCATGAATAATTATCCTTCCATGATATCCTAAAGCTTAAAATCTCTGACTTTTACTCACTAAAAACTGTTTAAACATTTCCCAGGGGCACCCAACCAGAATATAGTTCAAAACCACTTAAACATAGCATTGTTAAACGTATTTTAGTATTTAAACTGTAGATATAGGCATATTTTTATCCCCTAAAAATTTTTTTATCTGTTCGGATTTCCTAGTTGAAAGTCTAGTGATCCGAAAATTATAGGGATGAAAACTTACCTTTTCGAAAATTTCAGCCACAAAAGAGGCTCCCGAAAATTCTAGGTGACCTTTTTAGGGTAAAAATCCGTTAAAAATGGGCAATTATACCATTTTTTAGATGTTCGGCAGACAAGCAAGAAATTTTACAACAAATGTTCCGAAAATTCTAGATCTCAAATCGTCTTCCGAACAGATATTTTCCGAAAATTGACGTTGGGTGCCCCCTACTTTTTAAAAGCTTTTTAAAAGAAAACCAGGCAGTCCAAACAATCCTCAATTTTCTTTCTTACTTCAGATTCAGCAATAACTTTGTTTGAAGGTGTTTGAATTAACATTTACCAGCATTAATCTCTCTCAGGAGACAGACTTGAGTGTTTTTCTTTTATCATGGTCACAATTTGTCAACTCAAATCTTCTGTTTTTGTTACCAGCTTCTTTTAGGAACTGGAAATGGTAAAGTTCGATTCTATGACACAGAAAACAAAAAGGTCATATGCGATGTTTCAACAGACTCCCAATATCCCAGGTGAGGGTTACTTTCGAAACTCTTTAGTTGACCAACGCAAAAGTGTCAAATTTGTGTATCTTACGAAGTCTTAGTAGTTTGTAAATTGATGTATTTATATTGTAAACCGTCCTTTACTGTATTTCTGTAAATAGTGTGCAATAAACTTGGCATGACTTGATTTGACTTTATGACAATCATTATAATAATTATACAGGGAAAAGGTAAATTCTTTCCAAATTATTGGTGTATTTGTTCTTCTAGTCTAAATATTATTTTACTTTCCCGCATATCATACCGAAGAACAAAGAAAAATTTGAAGTTTAAACCAATGGTACGATAATTATTGAACCTCAACAAACACTTAGTCTTTGAGATTTGGCACCAAGTTGACTTAATAACTTTAATAGTAACATCCTCGTGAGGTTTTTCAGGAACTATTTACAAACTATTCACAATTTATAAAAGCAAAAATGACAATAAAAACTCGAAATCACAATTTATGATGGTATTCTACTAAATTCTAGAGCTTATGAAGGAAATGTCTGCCTCAATAGTATGTCTTTCAGGGCACGCTTGAAAGATGCCAATGAGGCACTTTGCCTAAGTTCATTATGCGAGTTATTCCATGTGTAGGCCCCTCTGTAGGAAAATGTGCGCTGGCCTATAGCCGTTCTGTATAGCGGAATCTGCAAAGGTTTATAATACAAGGTAAAAGTTTGTCAGTAACCCTAACGTGAGAGAAACAGGGTAGACACAAAACCGTGCGACTGCTAGGGACTTTGTAAAGCCTGGTACGAGGCTCCGCTGCAGGAAAAATGGAAAAAACCCGAGTGAACAGACATAAAGGTTACCGCTCGGCTCGCTTCGCTCGCCAATTTTTTTTCGCCTTTTTACCCAACTGCGGAGCCTCGTTCCGGCTAGCTTTGTAAACTTCTAAGAAAGTGTGTGCCAAAGAGGGAAATGTCATTGGTCTTTGCATGATCTTTCATGATTATTGGTCGTGTCGTTTGTAGTACATACTGACTATAACTCCCATTATTGTGATTCAAATGGAAAAAAGTCTGTACAACACTCCTTTACCAGTAAGAAATTCTATTTTGATTATCATCGGTAACAGAGATATTTGTTACTCTGTCAAGAAGAATGGTTGAGTCACAATGCAAGCTAAATTCAGTTTTTATAGGGAACACTGCTTTGTAATGAAGGCATAAGGAGAAAATATATTAATTCCCGTACTGGAGAGAGTGGCTGATTCAACTGGCTGTTATTATAAAGCCATAATGCCATCTCAAATTCAGATTAAGTTTATATCAGAGAATTCTGCTATCAAGGGGCTAAGTGAAATTCCACTGTTTTCCAGAGTTGTGTCGGCCAAAATTTGTAGTCAAGTCGCCCGAAATTTTATCATGTTCAACAACATCCAAACGTCTTAATCGCGCCTGCTTCGTTTCATCAAATCTTTAAGAACAAGATGTATTTACCAATTATTCCTCGAGCCCGAATGGGCTCTGAGTCAATAGCCCATGAGGCCGAAGGCTGAATGGGCTATTGACTCAGAGGCCATGAGGGCGAGAGGAATAATTGTTTCAGTAAAATCCAACTAGTTGGTCAACAATATCGAGACAAAACAACCTTAGCTAGTTCAAGCTAGAGTTTAATCCCTTTTTGCGGCCAAAAAGCCGGCGCTTTTCGCTACTAGTGGGCTATAACATATAGCCTAGTAGTAGCTCAACCAATGAGAACGCAGCGTTGATAATAGACCACTAGTTGGGTTTTACTAATACTCATTTATCCCGCTTGTTTCGTCTCATCATAGCATTATTGCTTAAAGAACGAGACCATAGTAATTATGATTTAATAATATTCATGAACTTATTGTGCGCAACTTAACACGAGAATGATCAGTTGCGCATTACAACCGCATTACTTTACCAGAAACAAACAAAAGATAATGCATTTAAAAAATAACAATGAAAAGAATATATATGCATGCAAATAAGTAAATGAATATAAAATTGATCACTAATATACTTTTCTAAAATTGCATAATTATCCTGCTTGTTTCGTTTCACTATGGCTTAAAGAACGAGATTTATTATATAAACACCAATGAAATACCAGGTGAGCTTTCGCGCGTTAACACGTGAAAATAACCTGTTGTTTTCATATGTGAAAATATCACCGTTGCTATGGCTACATAATAAATCGCGCCTTTCGCAGGAAAAAAACTGTTTCAATGAAATGGTTTGGTATTTCATTGGTGTTTATATTATAAATAGAATATTAGATGGCCGCTTGGAGATACGGAATTTCTCTTCTCGTGTTGAAAATATTTCACTCGTTCACTGCGCTCACTCGTGAAATATTTTTCAACACTCGAAGAGAAGTTTTGTATCTCCGCGCAACCATGTAATATCCTCTATATATTGCATGCACTGACTCTTTACTAAAATTTCGGGCGACGTAACTGAAAACTTCGGCCGACATAACTCTGGTTTCGGGCTACATGACTTCGGGCGAGATGATTTTTGGGCGACTTGACCAGGTATTTACCGTTTTTCAGGGTAGTGTCACTGACGTGCAGCCCTACTGGAGCTGCCTTCGTATGCTCAGCGGCAGCAAGTAAGAAGTCTACCATATCACCACTGAGGTTATCGCAGACCAAGCTCAGTGACATGTCCAGTATTTTGACATCTAACAGCGCTAGCTCAAACAGCATCACTGGTGTTCTACAGTGTTGGGATATGAAAAACATGAAAGTTGAGGTATCTTCTCCTTTGTCCTACCAGATTTTCAATCCTGAAATCTAATACTACTTGGAATCCTGACTATCCTCTCCCACCAGCAATCCCAACTCCACCACAACTGGTTTTCAACACACCCAACAGGGATCCCATCTGCCTTCCTTGGGGTCCAAACTTTCCCTAGCCTGTTCCAAGTTCTCAGATAGTGGGGAAGACGCGATAGTGAAAGGAACGCGAAAATTTGGCGGGGCAGGTTCACAATCAGTGAACTGAAAAATTAGTTGACACACTTGTCTTCAACACGTTCTTTTTTCAAGAATTTCATTTGTGTTACATTTTTCCAAATCCATCATTGATGCCAGTTTTCGGGCGTTCTTGGCCGTAAAAGGGACTGATTTATGGATTTTCCGAGATGGAATTTAGCAGTCCTGTATTTTGCTTCCGTACCGTTTACTCACAACGTAAATCAATCGCCAACCTTCTATAAATCAATGATAAACAACCAAGGTCCCTCTTACGTTATGTCCCGGGCGATGCTAGGATCCGCGAAAACTGGAGAGAGTTTTTATCGTTTTTGTATGTGTATTTCAGCGTCAGCTTCCTCTAGAGCCAGTAGCCACATGTATAAACTGCACAGCATTTAACCACAATGGAACACTGTGCATATCAGGTGGAGCTGATGGCATGATACGCCTCTTTGGTGAGTTAAATATCCATTCAAACTCAGTAGTTCAATTCACGATAAAATTCAAATTTCTCATCGTAAAATCCGTAGAATAAAATACTACTATGAAGAAGCTCTTCCAAAAAATTTTCATTTAAATGGAAACGCTTTGGGAATTTTTTTTAACCGATTTAAAAGTTACAGTGACGAATAATCTCTCCATTTCAGGTCTTGGAGTGGAAGGGTTAAGCCGTTTGGTTTGATATTTAAACAGGGCCGGGTTGCTGAAAGCTGGGTCAAGATAACCCAGGGTTAGTACGAAATTTGAATTCAGATATGAAAGCTTTAAAAGAATTAAACTGAAGTTCAGTTTAATTCTTTGTATCAACAAGTTGATGAATGAATGCTCTTAAAAATAACAGAGAAAACTATCCGAGAAAATACTTTTGAACAAAAGAAAAAGAAACCGGGTTAAATTTAACCCTGGGTTAACCGCTAATCCGCCTTCGAACAACTGGGCTCAGGTCTATTTTGTGTATTTTTTGATAGATATGAGATCGTTTGATTGTTTAATTGGTTGGCAAGCTCATGAGGGCGAGGTCTGTTCGATGCAATTCAGTGCAGATGAGACTACAACTTACAGTATGGGCACAGATGGCAAGGTATATCCTTGAGTGTACTTATCTTCTTGATTCTGATACTTAGGCCTGCCCTGTCCATACCACTGCGTTCTCGTTTGAAAAGTATACCGTAAAATTCCGAAAATAAGCGCCGGGGCTTATATTTTTCGAAGGCCCTTTTTGAGGGGCTTCTTTTTGGAGGGGTTTCCAAATCGATTGGGCTAGCCTTATAGTTGGAAGGAAATTTATCGTTTTTGCTTTGTTTTACTTTGTATTTGAGGGCAATTTTCCAAGTACAAGGCCCCCGGGGGGCTTATATTTGGAGGAACGATCTAACGGAGGGTTTTTTCCGTTACCGGTTTGGGGGGCTTATATTTGGAGGGGCTTATTTTCGGAATTAATTTACGGTATATTTCGATGCGTTTAAACCTTCTGTCCACACTTATTCGCTGAGCGTTTAAAAAAAAAACGCCCTTGAAATTTGATGGAAATAAAACGCATACACATCGTATTAGAGTAGATGGTCGAAAACGGTTGAAAAAGCATCAAAATGAAAACGATGAACGAAAATATCGCAGGTGCGCGTGTTTGTAGCATGCACATAGCGTTCCACTTACGTCACAACGTGAAATTCTATCGTTTTCGAACCTTTTTCTCTGTGGACAGTCGAAAACGCGTCAAAGCTGTAGTGTGGACGCGAATCGATCGATGCGTTTTCGATAACGACGATAACGCATACTTTTGAAGAAAGGGCCTTATTGTAAGTTTGTGTTGGTTTCCGCCAATTGTTGTATCCTTAAAGAAAACGCACTGATCATGATCCAAGTGATAACGTGTTTTCACGTAGTTTTCCTCTTTGTTTTTATGGCTCAACGTATAAAGTTTCTTTTCTGCACTGACAGACAATACTGTTTAAATGTAATTTTTTACTCGAAGGGGTCTTAGAAGTTGGGAATTGGATTTTGAAAGTGTTGGTTTAGAGCAACATCACCATACATCAGCAAATTGCAAACTCCTAGGGGACGTGTAGCAGGTTTCAAACGTCGCTAGCGGTTCGCGTCTTGTTCACGTTCGCGTCTCATGTGCGACGCGAAGTTCATTTATACGAGGTCTTCGTCTTACCTAAGGCGTGTTTTATCTCAGAACAGGTGTTACGGGCCGTTCTAACATAAGAAGCGTCTATGCCATAATTATATGGAGGTTTGCGTATTACTTAAGACGCGTCTTATTTTACCCCGTTATTGTTAGTGGCAGGCCTTTCGTATTATTTTTTGTAGTTCTGTCAGTGGAGTCTGCACCGTATGGGACAGAAGATAGCTGACCTCGTTATTCACGAAGGAGCCGTTTGGTGTGAGGCTGAGGGAGCCAGTCTCTTGCATAGTAAATACAAATACATGTCGTCCCCAGCCTCCTATGGTAGAATGTTTGCTTTTGATGCAGAAGGTCAATATCTTCTTACCTGTGGCTCTGAAAGAGGATTTGTATACAAAGTAAGAATTGCATACGTTGATAGAAATGTGCTGGTGAATTTTGAGCCTGGTGAATAGACGAGAAAGATGTTTTTTTTTCAGTCAGTGAGTCAGGCGGCTCGGAAGAATAAATCCAATTGTTTATAGCCGGAAATTTTTTCCCAACAGCGCGCGCTCTCATTGGTTTCTTCGAGGTCACATGACATCTAACAATGAAACTGTTTCCCGCCAAAATCTCTGAGCGGAAAACATTGCAAAATCTTTGACGTCAGAGGGTAACATTGCACTGTTGCCCGCGAATGTTGACTAACGACCGCCGTTGCAGCGAGGTTAAATGAATTTCCAGCTTCAAAATTTCCAGCCATATCACTAATCACTTAATGACTGTTCCCTCGGGAAATGACTGGTCTCTAGGGAAACAGTTAATTTTGTTTCCCTCTGGACCAGTCATAAATTGTTTGGTACGCCAACAGGAGTCGAACCTATGACCCTCAGGCCCCAGTTGTTCAAAACGTTGATAACGCTAGCTATCCCCTTGACGGCGCTATTGGTTTCCCTAATACTAATCAGCTGGATCCAAGGTTTGAAAAACCGGCGCGTGGTTAATAGTCCAGATCCTCTACCACTATGTTACAGGAGACTTGTGGGAGCTAAGGCTACCAACCTACAATCTCAGACAAAAACCTTAAAACACTTTGGAAAATTTTGCTCCCTTTCAGTCCCCCCCCCTTTGGCAATGTTGCTGCAGATGTAAAGGGTCGTGCATAGGTGTTTCAAGGATTTTTGGCGAGGATTGTAGGTTCATGAGACAAACATCCTTCATATTGCCTGTCAAAAAATTGAAATAGCAAGTGCACATCTTGGATTTTTCGTTATCACACACTTATATCGCTCTTGAATCCGTCTTTGATTCGCTACAAAAAGTAAATTACGGAATGTGATGAAACATAATTTTGCCGTAAGTTATGATACCTGTACTTCTTAATTTGTCAGATGCAGTGAGGGTCAAGCATGATACGACATAACCTATGTGCAACGAAACCAATACTTGAGGGATTAATGCATATTAATAAGCAAACGTTTAAGCGTACTCCTGAACCGGTTAAATCTTCCGACCGCCGCCGCACCCCGACAATAGACAATAGACCCAGGTAGATTATTCCTCTCACAAACGATTCACTTATTTCGGAGCTTGGGGCTAGGGGACACTTGGTGATGTCTTTCATGAAACATGACTCTCATTAGCGTGGATTTTAGGATATTTCGAATGGCCTAACGTGATGCTATTCGCTCGTTACAGGTGGAGAAGAATCAAGGCCCTTATCAAGTGTTGTCATTACCAGAACACAAGTCACCAGTCGTGAGTGTGGACTGGAGCTCTTCCATGAGTTGTTATACGTGTCTCACTGGATCTGTAGATGGATCTGTACAAGTTACATCCTTACTGAAGCACTGATAATTTAATTCCAAAATAATCTTTTAATTTCATTCCGTAGAACGCGATTTATGTCTAGTTTTAACTATCCTTAAATTCCATTTACCGACATTAGTGTTTCATACATCCATACATACATCCTTTATTATCTTTCCTTTAACAAGGCTTTTCAAAGATAATTACAAAAAGTATAGTTACAAACAAAATGGAGTACAGAAAATATATAAAAAGTTGATTGGCAAAATTATCTAAGTGCTGAAAATTAATCACTATATAAGATCATACATGAAATACAAGAAACATCGTTTATAAAGTTCTATGCCGAGCACGTTACAGGTGGAGAAGAATCAAGGCCCTTATCAAGTGTTGTCATTACCAGAACACATCTTTCCTTAGTTTTAATTCATTGTCCAATGAGTTCCATATCTTCACTGTTCTGTGATAGAAGCTTCTCTGGCCACTCGCCAATTTAAATAAGGGAATATCTAGCGATTGTGAGTTTCTAGTTTCTCGCCCGCTGATGTTAAATCGTTGAGTAAATTTAGACGTAAGATAATCCGGTGCTGAGCCCGACATACATTTAAATACCAGAGTGGTACTTCTAAGATAGATTAATTTTTCTACTGGGGGTCAATTTAATTCTTCTTCAACGTAGTGCGTTGCTTCAAGAAGCCGAGCTTGACGTTAATCAGCGGGTCAGTAACCCCTTAACCCGCAATATCCACATACAAATTCTCGAGACTGGTATTAATAGCCTAGTCCCTAGGCGTTCTCGGCTCGGTCATTCCTGGACTCTACCGTGGGCTGTGACGTTACAAATAGATACTCCCAGACTTTGCGCGGACAACGGGGCAAGAGAGAACGTCTAGGGACTAGGCTGCGTTCAGAGAATTTGATAAGAAATCTAAACATTTTCACTTTGGTGATCATTTTATTAATTCTCATAACGTTTCCTCTTGATGGTGTACGGATCTCAGTTAGGAGAAAATTGATGTTGGTCACCCCTGGGACTTTAAGGGGTAGGGTGTACGGCACTTTGATCTTTTAGCAGTTGATCCCTTTTTCAGTTGTCAGTGGAGTGGTGAAGCCTCACTGACAGGCGCCATTAGGGAGCTTAAGCAACGATGACGGCAACGACTACGAGAACGTCACTCTGCCTCAAACTTTTTCGCGCTTATTCCATCTCGTTTAATTCGTCAAATGTTGGCAAATTTTTTTGGAGTTGAATTCTAAAGGACGGTATCAAAGTTCAGGAAAAGAAAAATAAATTTGTTGTCTTGTGTTACCGTCCTCGACAAAACGCATTTAGGAAGTTTCACGTTGCATGTAGCCGTGTAACGACGGCTGAGAAATGTACAAAAAACGTGATGCACGTGCAAAGTTGTTGTTTTAAACCAATTGCTTTTTTGCCGTTCTCGTTGCCGTCACCGTCGTCGTTGCTTAAGCTCTCTAATTGACAAAACTGAACGGAGAATCTCGTTCTCTCGCTTGATGTATGAACTGGTTCTATCGTTCAGTTCTGCGTTGAGTCTGTTGTGTTGTGACCACTCAAAGGAAACCTCTTTAATAGCACTTTCACCATGGCACTGTTTGTTACGGTTTTGTTCACAGCACCAAATTTGGAAATTTTCTTTATTTTGACAATTTTTAGATTCGGTCTTTGTGATATCCGGAATAATGAAGGTCTCGGTAAGTGTTATCTGCCTGGGCCTTAGGCCCGGTTCAGACGCCGCTCCACTGATGTGCCGAACCTAACTCGGATGAATTACGTGCGGCAAAAGAGAGGCGTCTGAATCAATTTGGTACGGCAGTTTTAGTTTGGTGCGGCAAAAACGTCAAGTTCGACAGAGTCTGTCGAACTTTTGTCGAACTTAACTTAGGTTCGACACACGATACATCATCTGAATCAGATGTTGCGCCAGTGTCGCTCCAAAGTCGAACTTATTCAGTTAGGTTCGGCACATGAAAAGTACCGTGTCTGAACTAGGCCTTAGGCTCGGCTGATAACACTTACCGAGACCTTGATTATTCCGGATATCAAAAAACGTCATGCAATAACTGTTTACTGTTTTGCTGTTTACAGCTTATTTCGTTGGCTAAACCGTTGTGCTCGACATGATTGCGATTAGAGCCCTATTTGCTTAAGTTATGATATAAAACTAGGCCACAGCGATTTAAATAAATCATTTGTAATAGCTTAGTAATATTTCCAGTATTAATAGTCCTGGAGTAAATATCTATTATATTATAATTTTATAAAATTCAAATGTAGGTATAATAACGCAAAAAAGTATTATATTTTCTGTAATTTTTTAGAAATAAAATATTGTTAAGTTAACTTGCTTCTGACTTGTTGAGCTAGAAACTAGACTGCCAAGCAGCCCCTATTTTGGCCTAGGTTAAGAAAGCGCGCACGCGAGCGGTAAAAGAAAAGATCTGATATGGAGTGAGGGTGAAACGCAGAGCAAGACTGGGGGAGATACGTTTGTCTTTTTTTGAACCACCGAAAATATCAGGCAGACGCTACGCGCCTGGAAAACCCAATTTTAAGAGAAAAACACCGACTGTTTTGTAGTCTCTAGCTAGAACGACTTTGGCCGTGATCCGTCAATGCGGAAACAGGTCTTTGATTTGTAGATCGAGATTTAAATAATAAATAGCTATTAATATCAGTGGCATAGGTTAGATCGTGATTTGCTCCTAAAATGCTTAGCGGAGGTCTAGTTGCTGCAAGAGGATTTGTTTAAAACAAAGTGTATTATGGGTGATTTGACTGGAATATTCCAGTTGTCAATTAGAGTAAAAAAGGTTCTTTTTTATCAGTCTGGATTGCTCTGTTATAGTTTATGCTTTGAAAGACTGCTTGCTTGATTGCTTTTTGACGTCTTGACCTCACGCTTTATGAACAACGTATTGTATGTCCGTGCGAGCTGCTTAACAATACCGTTTTCAAAAAGAACCCATGATTATTGCAAAGTAAAGTGACGTCCAAGAGACGATTAGAGGCTATAAAAATCCCGGGGAGGACTCCGCATATGAAAAGGGTGGGGATGCTCGTCGGAAATTTTGAATTAAACCCCTAAAGGAGACCGATCTGGGCGTGGCCCAAGCTTTTTTTGACCCCTAAAAGAGACCGTGTTAAAACACAGACAAATGAAAAATACAGTGACTTTTAATGATGGCAAAGACATTATCATCGAATACTTGGATTATATGAATGGAGTAAATAAAACAAATAAAAAAATACATATCAAATTTATATTTTTATATTTTTTCGCGTGCAACCCAAAACGAGACCTTCTCGGCAAAATATGATCGCGAGTGTTTTGCCCAGAACACCCTAAGTGAGACCAAAATCCAAAATTTACACCCCTAAACGAGACGACGAGCATCTCCACCCCTTTCATAAGCGGAGTCCCCCCTCCCGCCCCCGTCCGGGATGAAAATGTACTCGTGATTGTCCGGCCTTTTTAAAATGGATTGTGACCATGCCCAAAGTGTCAGCCCAACGCCTGTTCAACTTCAAGGTCACGCGCTGTTTACATGCTAAATCACGTGATGAATAACGAACTCCATCACAAACTTCTGGTCCATGGAGTGGAAACAGAAAAAAAAGTAATCCTTGGAAAGCAACTTGATTGATTTGTTCTGATGTAATTTTTTTGGATCAGGGACCAATATTAAACCCGTAACAGGAAGAAAGAAAGAGCGTTGCGTGACGGGGAAGTCTTCTTCCGGGAATTTGGGGAACTGGGTATCATTGGTTACCAATCCTTCACGGCAGTCTCATTTGCAAAGTGAAACGAAATGATGACTGTTTCTTGGATTTCTCCAGAAAGAAAATCTGAAATCTAGTGAACTATGAAGACCTGAATGGTGGACACTTGTGCTTGGAAGTCTGAAAAAGATCTGGTTCCCCAAGACCAGATCGAATTGCTGCTGTCTTTGCTTCTAGAGGCGGAGAAGAGAAGATGGTTGGCGAGCATCTCTCCAGTAAACTCAGCGGAGCACGACCAGAATCTGGGTTCAGATGGGGACGGAAGACAGCAACTTTTCTCTGGTGATTCTGGCTCCGATTTATTGAGGTAATGGCATATCTTATTTTCCCTTGTTAAGTCTTTTTGCGCCCTGATCCTTCAAGCCTCATTTGGTTGCATACTACTCTACTTGTGTTGCTGCTTGCATGCTTTTAAATTGTGTTATATCTCTGCGTGATCTTGTTTCGATTTAGATTTCAGCAGTTTTATTTTGGTTTATAGGCTGACGGGTGTTTTTTGGAAAGCCAGTAATAAATACAAGTTTCTTTAGCTGTTATTGGTCGGTTTAGTCGGCTACATTTTCTAGAAAGTCGCACCTTCTGGCAACCATTCCGGAAGTAGTAAACTCATCATTGGTTAATAACTTTTTCAACAGGTTAAATAGCTCTGCGCGTATGATCTAGCTGTACATATATGCAAGTGGTTCCTACTCACTGCCAAAACTAAAGGTGGCTAATACCTATTCAATGGAGGTTGTCTCCTTAAAGAGAGTCAAAGTATTACTATTCAACAGCAGGGACCAACTCAGATTAGGAGTCCATTTTTAAGTTGCTTCCTTTATGATAGACAGTTCACCATGAAGAGTGTTTTCACTCACGTGGCCAGCATCTATGCAAATTTGTTGGCGCAAAAGAATACGTTTGCATAAGAAAAGAATTTTATCTCCCACAGGACTTGTTTGGGATACTAACATGGCCACCATTTCATTGTTTTGGCACACCAACATGGCCGCCGTGATGTCATGTGAAAACACTCTATAGTGACACCCTGGAAAGCGGACACCAAGGATACTGTACATGCCATAGTGTCCATTTTAAGGAGGATCTCAGAAAAAAATAGTCACAAATGCATCTTTCATAATTATTATTGATATACCCGGTAACCCCATTGAGACCCTCTGACAAGGGCTCTCATTTGGCTCATAAAACGACCAAACTCTTGTGACTCAGGACACAGAAAAGTGTCTGGTGTCTGTATTATATTAAGTGAGATGATTTTAGAGCAAAAGTTATGACCTTCTTTATCATTGGGAAAGATGAAACTTTTAATAAGGTGTCCAATTATTTAGTGATTATCTGTAGAGCTCTAGGGTTCCACTGTGTCTTGCATCAAGGTTGTTAATGGAGATTGCCACTATGTAAGGACAATAAAGCAACTTACCATTATGCAGTAATTTAGCAGTTATTCTTGTATGTTTGTTTCAGACATGGATGTTGTATTGACGAAATTCAAAGCAGATTCCTTGATTTTGAGTAAGTACACATACTGTAGATTTAATTTTATCCTGAGCTTACTTGTTCCTTTTTTTGGGAATGTTAGTGTATGATAATCAGGGCATAGCGTGAGATTGTGTCAGTGAACTCACAGGAAGAAAAAGGACTTCATGTTCCCTTGGAAAATTTCTCACCTTAGGGTCTTGGAAATGCCATTTCCAAGACGTTGGCAAGACATTTTCAGTTAATAAATGTGGAAGAAAAAAAATGAAATACCTGGTTTTATATTTTACCCTTCTCTAGTGTTATAATTACAGAGGGAAAAGGGTAAAAAAATGACTCCATCAAGGATATTACATTATTGATACATGTACATTCTCTAACAGTTTCTTTAAATGATCGGACCTCTTGGGCTTCACTGACATACAGTTATTAGCTGCATTTTGCATACGTATATTCCCAATCTCAGTTACTCAGTTAAGTGCAAATATTGTTCTGAAGCCACATGGCAATGATATGGTAACCTTACACCGTGAGGAGGCAGGCATTTCTTGCTGTCCATTTATGAAATAATCAAAGGATAAAGAAAATATACTAACACAAAGTCGACCTAATGATAAGAATGCTCTCAAGGAATTAATTATTTAACATTTTGATCACTGTAGCTACATGTATGACACTTTTTATTGTGCAATAATCGTGACTGCTGCCATTCCTTGGAGGATACCCTTTGAGTGGATGCAATGGAACTTCATTAGTACTCTTTCTTACTAATGGAGTGCTTGTATGTGAAAGACATGGTAATCAGCATCATGTCACTTGTGAAGCATTAAAAGAAAATCTTCCGTGGGCATGATAATAATTATTATATGAACCTCTCAAACAATGCCCAAGCACTCTCACTGGTGGAACTAAGGAAGAAGCCTGGAATCCCGGACCTCACTTTTTTATGCCGGGCCAGACTAATGAGGATCGCGGGACAAAGAAAAATGTTATTTACGAGGAAAAATCTTCAGTGAGCATGACTATAATAATATTGTTTCAACCTCTCAAGCATTGTCCATAGGCAATTACATAGTGGTTGATGTAGTAAAGGGGCCTGGACACGCGGGGACCCTGGGGCCCCACTTTATTTATGGGCCAAACCAGGGATCGCTGGGGAAAGAAATAGTATTTTTAAGGAAAAATCTTCAGTCAGCATGACAATGATATTATTATTTGAACCTCTCAAACCGTGCCCAGGCAGTGACATGGTGGTGGATCTAGGGAAAGGGCCTGAATGCCTGGGGCTCTGAGCCTCACTTTATTTAAGGGCCAAATTGAGGATCCCAGGGCGAAGAAATACTATTTTCAAGGCCAGACCTCCATTTGACTTGGGATTTGAATGATCAGGCCCCTCTGAAATGTATTAAATTTGTCTTATTTTAGACCAAGTCACTACTGCCTCAAGGCCACAACAAACAAACCAACTACTGACAGGCCATCCTCACAGATGAAAGTGGTGAGAGTTATATTTATTCTTTTATTACCAGTATATTATTAAGTAGTGGTGTGCCAATCATTGCATCAGTTTTTGCAGGGAGGTGATTAATTTTTATGTTGTGGAAGTGTAAGTGTCAATTAGAACAAGCTGGTATTCAAGTTTTTGCAAGCCCTGCATAACTTTTTTTGTTGTGGTTCAATTTTATCTTTGGTATAAATTGTATTTCCTTTTGTAGTTTCAGGCATGGTAATGTATGGTAATGAGTTTTTAATATGTGTTTGAAACGAAAGAAACAAAATTTAAACCAAGGATAAAATCAAACTGCAACAGATACGCTGCAGTACAGATGTAATTATAATGTTGCAAAATTTGTCTTGCAGCTATTATCTTTAAATTTGTTGGCATTCTTTTTTGTCTTGTAGGTTTCTAGTGAAGAACGTTTTGACCCAAGAGGATTATCAGATTCAATAATTAGTTCCCCTGGTATGAATTATGAATGACTAATGCTTTTCAAAATTAACACATACAGGGTGTATACATATGCATGCATTCAAATGACCTTAATTTTTGGATTCACCATCTTCACATAGACCATAATGCACCTTGTTTACCCCCCCCCCCCCCTCAAAAAAAAAAAATATTGGCATAACCATTGTTGCCAATTTCTCCTGGGTATCACAGTTGTCTCAAGAAGTCAAAAACAATACTAATGTGAATTTTTTTTTTTTTTTTTTGGGGGGGGGGGGTTAAAACAAGGTACATTATGGTCTCTGTGAGAATGGTGAATTGCATTTTAAGCTAATTCTTGTATGTATCCTAATACTTTCGATACACCTTTGTTTGTGACCTTCTCCATGACTTCGTACTTTAACCATTTCCTGTCAAATGGATAATCTGTTAATTTACAAAACTGTTTTAATGGCTGTCTAATGGTTTGCTACCCTGCGAGCAGCTGAGTCCCCTTTGATCTCCTTCGTTTTTAAATCCTTTTGTGAATAACTTCATTCTTTGTTTCTCAAAGTGTCAATCTGTAAATGCTTTCAGCCATTAAACAGAAGAGTGTTAGGATGCGAAAAACTGAAGAAGCTAACATACAATTCATATTTCAGAACCTTTACTAAAAAAGAATAGAAAACTTAACGTGAAGTTTTTACTTTTTGTAACTTTCATCCTGGTTCTTCAGGTAACAATGCTATTTGTATCATTGGCAAAAAAAGATTATTTAGGGTCTATGAAGGTAACGAAATTGGTGCATTCATTTGTAACTGTCTCAAAAAACCATTGCTGTGCATCATGTCTACAAGTCACTTGGAAATAGTGATTCTTTTTCTGACCAATCATAGCATGCCAATTCTTCAAACAATGATTAATTTTTGAATATTAGTTATGTGATTGTTATAGGAACATCTTCTGAAAGCAGTTCCTATACAAGCGGAAGTCTATTGTCTGAAAAGGTATGTACATTTACCGGCCATTAAAACCACTGAAATACACTAAACACTCTCATATAAAAACAACTGCATTTGTTCTATATTAGCAACTAGAAGATTTTAACTTAATTTCCATTATTCTGGATTAATGTCCTTACAGGATGCTTCATTTGAAGTGTATAAGAATGCTTTGCTATGTGCCAAGTATCCATGTCTGAGTGAGTTTCAGCAGCTGTCTCCCAGCACGCCATATTCACCAGTTCTTTCACCAATGATGCAGCGAAGGAGATTCTCATTTTCAAAACCGCCTCATTCTGCAAGGTTTGCCAGTAAACAAATGCTTTTGCTACTGGTCAAAATTAAATTGAGGTTTAAAATTTTAAAGCTACAATCGGTGACAAAATAACATTTTGCCAACTTAAAAAGGGAAAATAAAGCTTTTCCTCCCCCACCCCTCCATGCAATGTTGGACCACTGTTCAAGGTACTGTGCCTGTAGAAGACAGCAAACATCCCAACTTTGAATGGAGGGGAGGGGGAGGGGTGAGGATTGTTTTGTTCTCCAAAGCTACCCCATTTGAGGACATGTCTCAACAATCTACCGTTGTAGTTTGAATCTCAATTTCTTTGACCCTAGCCCTAATAATTCATGAATTTTAAGGGCTAGGAGACAGAGGAGGTTAAGAAAATTTAACCTGAATATAATTTTGACCTGTAACACTTTATGATGGAGGAGTGTAAGCTGGACTTTTTGTTCAGGATTAAGTCCTATATGCCAAACCTTCATATTGAGATATGGAAGCAGTTCACTCTCCCAGCTTTTAGGTAGGAGATACCATTTCACAGCTGGTTGTTAACTAATATGCAACACTGTCAAAAGTGTAAATTTGTTTGTTTTTCACATACATTTATTTTTCACAGTTATAGCCATTAACACATTTCAATGATATTTGAAGTAGATATTTAGCTTCCAGGCCTCAGTTTTTTAAAGGGGGGAAAATGCTATTCACTGCATTTAATTTCTATCCACTAGATAATGCTTAGCCTATTGGTTTTGCTAATACTGTAGTTATCCACTGGATAGTGATTTATCCAGTGAATAGCTCTAACCATTGTTTACAGTAAACAACTGGGGCCAATATTTCACACAGAGGCAATTTTTGAATGATAATATCAAAGTATATATCAAAGTTTATAAAGTGAGGTGAATTGTCACAAACACCCTTAGTTTGCATTGGAATCAGATATTCTACCAGTTAATTGCACACTCTATAAGTATTTGCTACTTAAGAATCCTTGTTAACAGTGGACTCTTTTGGATGACATTAGGGCCATTTATACGAAGAAATCGTCATATAGATGGCCCTATTGTGAAGCTGCCCGTTAGTTACATTGTAAAAGACAATTGTAAGCAGTTGGTTTCCTTAAAAACAATGTAAGTAATCATTTCTTTTAAATTAAAAAAATGTGCATATTCAATGATTCTAATGTTGAAATGAAATTTGTTGCGAATGACTTGTTTGTGTGCTTCTTAATGGTTGTGTTTGAGATTAATATGTGTGGTGCATATTGAATTTTCAGCTCAGCTGCTACCTCTGATGCAAAAATCAAAGATGTGCCATCATCCTCTGATGGCCCTGTTTCTCCAGATGTGTTTTTGCCAAACTTATCAGACGAGCTTCAAGAGTTGGTCAGGAATGTGTTTTCACTAAAGAAGATAAAACAGAAGTATTTTAGTGAAACCATCATACCGCGGTTTGTTCCTTTGGCAAAGGAGCCTCAATTGGTAAATACAGTGCATTGATTTGAATTTCCATGATTCACCTCAGATGAAAACTGAAGTGAAAGATGAAAACCACAGTTAAACATTTTAACTGGAATAGCCAACCTCCAAGACAAGTGCCCTCGAACACCCCTTGGCTAACTAGCAAATAACTCCCACACCTCCTTAGGGCTCGAAAATATTCCATTTGGGTAATCCTTTAAGGGTAATTCGGGACTTACAGATTTTCTTGCTGGGAAGTAACTTTTTAAGCTCAATTGCCCAATGGGCACTGAAGGGAACAGGCAAGTCACCTTACCATTCGTCGGAACGAGCCGGCCATTTGCATGTAGCTTCGCAGCAGTCATTTTTAGGGGAGCTCGTATTTCTTCCCTCCCCACAAACGCCTGCTCAACCAAGAACAACATTTTGCGTGCTCTACTGTGGGGGGGGGGGGGTACTTTAGGAATGTTTGGGTGGGGATGTGCCACTGGGACCCTGCAACCCTTAGCCTATACCAGAGCTAGTGCATCTGAATTTTGCTACCCCCAAGTCCCACCCTCCCCCTATCCTGAGGTCACTAGCATTCCCTGCTAGCAGAGGTCTCTCACGATGAGGCATTTTTGCCTCGTCGTGAGAGACCTCTGCTAGCAGGGAATCACTAGCACAGTCTAGCCAAAACAAAACCGATTTGATTTTTTATAAATTTGGGAGTGGCAGTTCCTGGTTTCCTTAGTCTAGACTAAAATCTTCAACCAATTGATCAGTTTCCTGGCAAATGATACCCATTCTGGACCCAAACTCTCGGATTTATATACCCTTTCCCAGAGTAAACTGCTTGAAAACCATACCCTTCATAGCAGCACACACCTAAGTAGCCCATATATGGCAATTCCCCCCCCCCCCCCGGACCAGGGGCCGGTCTGTATCATTAGTATCTGATTGCAGATTTGTCAAAATGTGAATTATGTAACTGTTCGTTTTGAAATCTCATTACAATAGCTACTGGTTAGAGAGTTGGAGAATCAGAAGTTAGTGCTGAAGCGTAACCATCATCCATATTACAGTGTTCAGGCGTTCATGAACAAGGATGCATATGGTGAATGGGTCAGGTTGGAGGAAGAGAAGATCAACAGTCTGATCAAAAGTTTCTGGCACAATTCGTATCCATCTGTGACTGAACTGCCACTAAGCAGTGAGTACCATGAGCAATACGTCGATTTGATGAAGAGACTTATTAGGTAAGGATTGCTTTAAAGGCTTGTACTGCAAAAGAGAAAGTTGTTTCTTTTTGTTTCTTTTTATTTAAGGCTGGTTTTCACTAGCAAAGGTTGAAGTCAGAGTTGAGTCGTAATTGCACTGAGGAATATTTAGACACATCCTGCTTTCCATGGAATCGTAAATGAACTTTGTAGCGTTTTCCCTTTGAATCCAATCATTCTTGATTGAGCGTTACACTGTTTTAGGAATAAGGCTGATAATTATTAACATTGAAAGCAAAGTAAAAGGAGTCACATAGAGTGAAAATCAGTTGAACTCTTTCTTAGACTTTTTTGTTTCCCCTTTATACACTCTAACTTCCTCACATGTTGAATGTCACCACCAAGATTTGCGTGCTTAGTTAGCCTAGTTACCATAGCATTGTGGCCGAGGAGGCGCTCCAAGAGCAATCTTGTTTTAAGTGGTGGAAGAGTCATATAATATGTGACTTATTTGTTTCATGACAGGTTTGAAAGTAAACACAAGGAACCTCATCCAGTACACGGTGGGGTAACGCCCACAGCACCTTTATCATCTACAGCTTGCAAACTGTTGAAAGAGTTTGAACTCAGATATGGAATTGGATTGTTGTTCTGCAAAATTTGTTACCTTGAGTACCTAGTTAAGTAAGTAGCAAACTCGTGATTTAAACTCAGATCATGTAACGCACAATTATATATTTGGCGACGCCATCACTGGTTTTCCCGCCAAATGACGTCTGAGAAACGAGCGCAGATATTCCATACTGATGACGCCTCAGTACCCAGATCTGGGTAGTGATGAGTCATCAGTATGAGCTCGTTTCCACCAAAACAGACTATTTGTGGGTTCAAAGTGCAAAACTCCTATCAAGTGAGAATAGGTTTTTGAGAAAATCCCGGATAATAACTTTCATGTGAATTATTTATTTCCCTCATTTAAAAAAAAGAAGCTGACGGCAACTCGAAAATGGTCTATTTTGTCCGCGTATATGCGTTATTGACCAAGGATGAGGTCAAGATGTCTGGATATGGGCCAAGTTCTTGTTGGCGTTTTTATGGACCCAGCTTAGGTCAATAAAAGTACAAACAAAGCCTTGTTAATATCCAGCCATCTTGACCGAACAAGCCTGGTCAATAAAGGATTTATTATACGTCAAAAAGATCAGCCCATCTTGCCCGTTCGGATAGCCAATCAGATTCACTTCTTCTAGTGCGCACGTGGTTTCAGCCATAAACTGTACTATATGTTATGGTTTAATTTTATCCTTGGTTTGAATTTTATTTTCTTTTGTTTTTGGGTATGGTAATTAGGGAAAATAAAATTTAAACCAAGGATAAAATTGAACCACAACATATATATAATGGTTAAAATTGTAAGTGAACATAATTGTCGCGAATAGATACTGCGTAGTGGTTGGTACTGTGTTTTCATAACATGTGAGTGTATACATGGCTATGCGGTGGCGTGGCCTCGCTGCGACGTGGCTACATGGCGACGTGGATGCGCGGCCATGTGGCGGCGAGGGTCCCTGGCTACGTGCCTGGGTAGTATTAGGAATCTTAAGCAACGGGGTGGCTACAAAAATGTCACTTAAAACGAGAATTCGCGCTGCTTCAAATTTCGTTCCGTTAATTCAATGTTGTTCAATTCGACAAATAATCGCGAATTTTTCTAGAATTGAATTCTAAAGGATTGTATCAAAGTTCAGGAAAAGAAAAAGAAAATTGTTGTTTTGTGTTCACGCCCACCGCAAAACGTGAAAATAGGAAGTTTCACGTAGTAGGCTACCCTGGGTGCCAGAGGCTTTTCATACGCGCTTTCCGGTGTCGGTCAAGTCTTAAAAAGTGACCCGTGGAAAAGCTTTATTCTCGCCGCTTCGCCGCTCGTGTCCTCGGCCTTCGGCGGAACTCGCATCGGCCTGCGGCCGACGAAACGAAGCTCCCCGTCGCACGCGAGAAAAAACCTCTGGTACCCAGGGTAGTAGTAGGCGTGCAACGATGGCAAAGAAATGTGCAAAAATACGTGATGCACGTGCAAAATTGTTGTTTCGCCTATTTAAACTTATTGCTTTTTTGCCGTTTTCTTTTTCTTCACCGTCGTCTTTGCTTAAGCTCTCTATTTTCATGTGTTTACGTCCTCCATGAAATGTCGCTTTAAGAAACCTCACGTCCAAGTTGTGCAGTTAAACAAAGTAATGCACTAAGATTGTAAGTTACAATTATTACCCGGTGCGAGTAATGTAAAGAGTTCCACAGGTTTCGTGAACAGGTTATATATTCCAACTATGGGCTGTTTTTTTTCCGAGTTGCCAGTATCTTAATTTTTCTGACTCGTTCATTTTAAATCCACGTCTCATTTTAGCATCGTAAGGCTAACCCACTTCTCTGATTAGATACCTGGAGAATAAACTTTGGTATATCACATACGTGACTGATTGTGTGGAAGACGTAATGGATCACGTGTTTAAATGCCCAGAAATTTACGTTGAGAAAGAGGTAAGTTACACAATTTAGTCAATTATTGAGTACCTATCTATAACCAACTGTATAATAAATGTCTTAATAATAATAATAAATGTCTTTATTGCTCATTAGATAAAAATACATATCCAGTGTTACAGAATAAAAAGATTAAAAGTTCAGCTAAATTACAATAGAAAAAAAAGATTAAAAAATGCGAAAAACTAGTTACACATGTCTGACATAAAATATCATAAAAGATTGTATTTAAAAATTAATCTATTTACAAATGTGTTCTTATAACGTTCGGTGTTTATCTTGGGCCTTTGGAAGCTTTTACGTCTAAGACTGTAGGTTAGATTGTTCTTTTCTAGCGGTAAGCACACCTTCAGAGGGGGGTTATCATGCTGATTAGCTTTTTGAAAAATCGCTTTATCTTGTTTTTGTAGTAATGATCTAATATTTAACTGTGTAGATATGAAGCGTAACTTATAGCATCTGTCTAGAAATTGCTGAAGGACATTAATATCCGCAACGGAGGCACCATAAACAGATAGTCCGTAGGTTATGTCAGGGAGAACAATACTATAGAAGAGATAATCAATTTCTGTATGGCTGTAGCGCTCTTTTCTACATACTCTCAGCACGTGTAGACATTTGTTGGCCTTGCACAGTTTAGCTTTTATGTGTGTATTTATTTTTTTAATTCGTCTTAACTTTCCTTTATTTCATACAACAGTTCAAAATGCTACTGTCCATATTGTCAGATTTGCTTGGAAAAACCAAATACTCCTTAACTAGTATAAGGAAGATCTTCCCTGAAAACAGACCAGAGGACGGTGTGCCAAAACTTGTCGCTTTGTTTAAGTTGTCCCTGGAATCAGCCATACAGCTACAGTCACAATTCCGTGATGTATTTTCGACAAGGCAGATGGCTATGGACTTTACCTCTAACTTGCCTAAAGAGCCCCTTGAAGTTCTCCTGGCGTCTTGCATCGAGGTAACTTGCAGTTCTTATTGCTGGCGGCTATTGAAGGAACTGTATCACGAAAATTATCAACATTCAAACAGTGGCAACTGCCACCCCCTAAATAAGCGAAACCTGAGGATGATTTATAGCTCACAACATTCAACAAAGGTATAAAACACCGCAAGAACAAAGAATGCTTGAACGGACAGACTTGACGAAGATTAGCCTGCATGGCACGTGTTAAAAGGGGAAGGGGAAAATTCCCCCCTCCCCTTCCCCTTTTAACGCCTGCCACTCAGGTTAGACGAAGATTAAAACAGATTGCAATTGTGGTTTTTGAAAACTTGTGGACTTAACAGTTTTTTTTAATTCATCCTTTTTGTGTGTAAAGTTTGATATAATGCTTGGGGAGACATATGTGTTTGACATGACCAGTGCTCTTAAGCCCTAAGAGTGATCAGCATCAAATTTCTCCTTGTAAAATCAATGCTTTGTAAAACAGAGTGGTCATGAGAATTACGGACATGATCACACACGATGAATTTGCTTGATATTTTATCAACTTCTCCGCACTACTTCTCTCGGAAATGAATAGGAATAACAAATCAGAATTGAAATTTTGATCTTAGCTTTTAAAGGGTTAACGGTGATTGGTTTTCTGTAGCGACAGAGTCAGATTTGTTAGCGGTGTCGAAAGAGCTCTTATGATTTTGTGTCTCCATAATTTGTCCTGATTTTCAACATTGCATAGGGTGATGTGGGGGAGGAGGAACCGCAGACGACGTCGTCTGGAGGAACCGCAAAGTATTTAGTAAAAAAAACACTGTTTAAAAGCATCCTGAAATTAGAGTTATTACGAATATTGCATAACTGCCCAAGGACTTTCGCCCGTCATTGTACTTTTAAATAAATGAACTACTTAAACATTTATTTTTTAATCACAAAGCAAAGGTTTTGTTTAACGATGAACGAGGCGCGAAAAATCTCTTTTCTCATTGTTTTTGATTCATTAATGCAAAATGAATCCAGTCTGCTAGCTTTTCAGATTAAATTCCGTCCTTTCAATTCCTTCCAGACTGAGATAGAGGGTCGTTATGAGCGCCGTAAGGTCATTGCCGGAGATGATCTAGGTAGAAACTGCTCTCCACCCCAGCTTCTGCTTAACGTTATCATGGATATTCGCCAAGAGGTCAAAGATTATGAAGATTACAGAATAGCCTTCTGCAGGTTAGTTGGGCTTTGTCGCGGTTCGCACTACTTCTGTAATGACTACTTACTTACTCACTCACTCACTTACCTACTTACTTACGTCTGCGTGGGAGGCTACTGGAAGACCCTTGGAATGATACACCTGTATCGGATATAGGTGGCATAGAATGCGGTTTTACAAGGAATAGGGGGTTATATTTTTTTTACAAACTCTCGTTAGAAGCATTTGACTAACAGTAAATTTCTCGGTTTTAGATCTTGGAATTTGTCATTTTTAACAACAGAAAAGTGCGGAAATTTTGTTCCCTCTTAATGGTGTGAACAATAACTTACGTTTGATTGACTTTGAATTCTGAAACAAGTTGGTTAAGTAAAAACTATCTAACTGTTCATTATTTTGTTTTAGCATCTTTGATATCACGAAGCTTGCAGCGGTCAAGTTTTATTCCTTGCTTATGTCAGACATCGTACATCTTTGTGAAAGTCCGCGTCGAAGATGCAGGCGTGATCTTGTGGATCCTAACATGCTGTGTTTGGCATTTCGATTGTCTGACTTGGATGAGAAGTGGGCAAAGTTTATTCCGTTCAGGTACATTGAGAATTTTCTGGCCAGCAGATATCATAAACGATTGTGTTTCTTCAAGGGCCGGCATTGCCAGGAGCTCCCGGTTGTTTACCACTTACATGGGCAAACTGGTCCACGATTCGATTCAACGGACACAAAATTCAGGACTGGTAAATTTCCTGCGGAAAACGCGTTTACCATTTGCACAAATCAGTCAGTTCCATTTACCGAAAAAACGGCTAGGAAAGCCTGAAACTGATCGGTTCAAGTGGGTGTGAAAAATGGAACACAAATTTCCTTTCGTCCGCGTAAACAAGATTTAACGCTTGTTTACCATTTACAAAAAGTTTCCGGAAAAACCGGTTGGAAAGTAAAAGGTAGGCTTGTTTTTCCGGACGGAATATTCCAAACGAAAACTCGAATCCCATTTCTTCAAAGCCATCTTTGATGCCAGTTTCAGGCCTTCGAGGTTGTTTCCGGTAAATGGAACTTATTTGTACAAATGGTTAACGCGATTCCGGGACGAAATTTACCAGTCCTGAAGTTTGCGTATACCATTTGCCTAAACCGTCGGCCGGTTTGCCCCTGTAACTGGTAAACAACCAACGCTTTCAGTCGTTCTGCCGCTCTGGAATTTTCCATGGGAACCACCCGAAAAGTCGTGTTTCATTTACTTTCCTAGCAGAACTTTTTATAAATGGTAAACCACTTCCGTCTTCTTCTAATAGGCCAATTTGAGGTTGAACCAGAGACTGGCAGTGTTGTGTCGAATTGCACTGTGGGACTCTTTGGAGACGCTGTTACTTCTTACGAAGTTGCATAAGATTTGGGGCCACAATTTGTCCCCCAGAATAGTCTAATTGTGCTGTTCGACGCTACGCTGATGCTGACTCAAGCACAACCTCAGAACAGCCACAACGTGTTAGACATTCCGTCGTTTATAGATTTCTTTATGTTCTTAAACAGCTGCGCGGGGTAATACCCCTGTTTTGCGTTAATTATTGTTGTCCTAACCAAAAGCTACTTTTCCTCACGTTCTATAGTCTGCGAGCACGTTCTGCAACCAGTTAAACTCATAAAACGTGGCAGAGATCTTTTGGCTGGATCTATAAATAGACTGAAAATTTAGACGTCTGGGACCCAAACCAGGACTCTCTGGGGTGATGGGCTCCCAGTTTAAGTTAACTGTTCTTCTGGTATTCCATCACCAAGTGTTTTATTCCTTTTCTCACGGAATGGTCACGCAACGAAAGTAAATTTGAGTACCGTATTTAATCGATTAAACGCGGCAGCTTGAAGCACAGTTACCAATAAACGCTGCACCCAATCAAAAGAATGCTTCGTTTTTATTCAAGGATTATAAGAAAAAAACTTGATGCAAATTGGTAATCTACACCATCTAGACTAATTCTGTGTTTTCACTGTGACGCCATCAAAAATAAATACAGAAAGTCCAGAATCTGGGAAATGAAAGAAGACAAATATACAAAAAGCCTCGCCAACAGTCAGGTCTGTGCGATAATTCATATGCGAGATATTCGGAAAAACGTTTTACCGAAATTTATAAGGCTTTGAATGGAGACGCCATCTTGGTGTCCTTTTGAGGCCAGGGGCACAAATATGGGCGCCGGAAACCAACAGAAACATCTGTTCTTTTAGTTTTCCTACTTATGGGTGAATTTATCGCTTGAGGAACTCATAAAGATTAAAGTAATATTCATTCTAAGACAAGGAACGTATAGATAGCTAAATCTCAAAAAATCAGTAACGTTTTTGACCCACATAAGAGCTTTCCCGAACGCCACCTAAAGTGCGCGTCACTAAAAAGCCTGGAAATTCAAGTGTCTTCTATCGCAAAACGAAGAACCCTTTGGAACCGAAAATGTGTGTAAACCAAGGTTTTTAGGTGACGCAATGCCTCATGAAAGAAGAAACTCAGAAGAATCGATAGTTTCTTAGTTTGAATTTTGGTGACGTCATGTGAAAACCCCTTGTACGTTTCTATCTAAGCAAAAGGGCGAGACATTGGCACTTTGAACATCTTCCTGTTTTACATAATATTATCAAATGGTTTGTCGTCGGTGATAAAGATGTGAGTTGTACGGTAATCGTCTGCGATTGGTGGATGCTGTTCTAAGGAGAGGAGTTATTTTGATCGCTTGAAAATAAAACACTTTCCCGGTTGAAGCAATTAGGTGATAGTTTTCTTGACAGTTAGTAGTGGCTGCCTTGTAATTCTAGAGGTTTCTATGTTCATATAGTGCTTTTATACTGCTGACAAGGTTATTTTCATTGATTGGTAGAAGTTGTGAATGATTGCTAATTATTCAGATTGCTCTGTTTTCAAGGGATCAAAAATGGCGTCAGCAATTTCAAGATTATGGGTTGGAGTGGTTGGATGCCATTGGTGGCTACTTTGAAATCCTTGTTCATCAGGTGATAGGCCGTGACGTATGGAGAGCAGTTGATGTGAATATCACTAGATCACAACTTAGGACTTTAAGAAGAAAGCGAGAAAGGCTGATACCAAGAGGGCCTATCGGAGGCAAGGCTGCTTCTGTCCCATCGTTGACGCCTTCTCTTCATTCTGCTTTCGACACTGTTGTTCCTTCCACAAGTGCCCCATCTAAGGTCGGTTTTTTTTATCATTGGTATAAAAAGTTTGAAAAAAGTTTTGAATTTTATAGACCTGTTTGGGGTGAGCAACGTCCATCGTCAGTCACAGAACCCGCTAGCGGTTGTAATATAGATGTAGAGTGAAATAAACTAAAACAGTCCTAACTTTTTTCAAAATTATTTCTTGCCTGCTGGCATTTCGGAAATTTGTTAAAAACCAATTGTATTGTGCACTTACTTACCGCAAGTGTTATCGAAGTCAGTAAAAACCGATTTCAAAATGGCATTGCTACCAACAAACGCGTGTTGACAATCTAACTTGCAGATATTTTTCTTTGCAGACCAAAGTGAGTCCTGGAATTGCCAAAAGCAAAAAAGGCAAGGAACCTCTTCGCTCCAGAAAATGTTTATTGGGTTCTAGCCCTCCTCTGAAAAGCCAAGGACGCACAGGAACGTTTAACACGAGTGAAAGCAGCTCAGATGAAGAACTCCCAAACGCCTTGCCTGCAGCGAGGCGAAAAAGTCCCCCTAAAGTAAATTCGATAGTAGTAACTGCCCAAGTCCACAACTCTGCTCCAAGTGCTGATTCTACCGCCATATTTGGGAATTTTCTACGACCCAGCCGTCAGGAAGAAATCGCGACAAACAGGACGCGTGTTGCACGTGGAGATGACCCAAGGAACAAAGAATCTTCTGCCTTTGTGCCCTTTGAGGGCAACGGAGAATCAAGAAACAGTAAAACAAGTTCAGACGAGAAAGACAATAAGGAAGGTCCATCGAAAAATCAGTCAGTCGATGGCGTTGTGTATCCTGTTTCCGTAAGGCACTTGGATCGCGAGAACAAGGAAGAAGTGAAGTCCTTGCAGACAGTCCTTTCCAATCATGTAGAGAATACCGAAGAAAGGTGTGTATTGCAACCTACTGAGGTTAATGCTGGTACGTTTCACGTCAGTTGTGGACCTTCTCTGAATCAGTCACAAGATGGCACAGAAAACAAAGCAGAAAGCTCCGTATCTATAAAACATTTAGAAAAAGACATTAACGAGCTTCCTGTTAATGAAATTCACTCAGAGGAAGAACAAGAAGCAACACCGCAGGACGAGTATGGTATTGAAAACCACACGAGCTCTAAACTGGATCATCCAGTTGAAAGAGCAGAAAACGTTGAAGGTCAAATTTCTGAATCAATTTTTTCTTCAGATGAACCAAAACAGGTCAATGAGGTTTTGCCTGAAGGAGACCTGGGTTATTTGGGCCATGACAGTGGTTCTGACACTTCATTTGAGAACGATTCTACAGACGAGTCCGATGGTGACACTGTGATATTGAAAGAAAATTCTAAGGAATACGGTTATGCTGATGCTCCTTCCACAAAGTCAAATTCTCCGTCGGTTGATTATGAGAAGGATATTCAAGAGGATCCTAACGAGGGAGGTTCACGGCCATATCCTGGAACAGGTGATACATGTCAAACTTTCACAAGAAAAAGCACGTGTGGTGCAACTGAGCAAGATAATAGAACTGTCGCGGGAAGTCACGGGTCAGATGAGAGTGAGAAAAGCATAGCTTCAGCAGGCCCGAAGGGACTCCAACCCAGGCAAAGTGTTCCAGTCAGTATACCAGTGAGTGACAGTGGAGCCCCTAGACACAAATTGGTCGCTAGACTGCTTGATACTCCTTGTGGCTCAGTTGGTTCTACTGTGTCCGACCACAGCAACTATGTTACTGCTGGGTCTGTCCTTTCTGGGAATAGTATAGACACTTTTTGTTCTGCACGTTCGAGCCTTACCTCCAGAATTAAAGGCAACAGTGGTGATCACTCAGATAATAACCATTGTGCAGGAGAAGATGGATGTGATGGTCACTCCAGCAAAACTGAATCAGTTAACGAAGAATCGACTAAGGTTTTGCCAGTTTCCAGTTCATTTGTGGATGTCATCTGTGCTGTGAACCGTCTGACAACGTTTGTTTGCCACCTGTGTAAGATCCTTTGTCCGCATGAGAATTCTCAGAGAGACCAAGAGGAAACCACTGTGGCTGAAGAGCTAAGGAATGAGACATTGGAGGTCAAAAGGAGACTTTGCTCCAAGCTTATTGAGGTACTCCGAATTTTTTGGTGTCTTCTGGGAATAACAATTATGAGTGTTTTTGTGTTCAGTTTTGTACATCCGCTCATCATTTTCCTTTAGCAGTGCCGCAAACGAGAAAAGTTGATGTGTTGGTGCATCCTGCACTATATAACACTGTGCTGCTTAAGAGAATCGAACCTCTGTACGTGCACAGAGAACAAATCCTATAGCAATAAACTGAAGTGTATCACAAGTGTTGCTTCGCAATTTCGCTCCGGGACCATTATCATTCCGCGAATGAAGTATCATTTCGCTTCGTGAAAAGGCCTATCCACCAAATATTAGCATTTGGGCTAGGGTAGGGAGGGGCTCTATCAGAATCTGTCATATTTGATAAGATAATAATGAATGAATGAGAATCGCTTCCTTCAGTGTTTTCTTTGACGCCATTTTAAGGTACACGGCCAGTTCATGTGGTACGAGGTCAGGGATTTCCCAACTCTCGGAACCCGCTCTGCTTTATTCTACTATGTAAGCGATACCCAGCTCGTTTAAACTTTTTTTCGACGTGGCTGCCTTACAAAAAACAGCGAAGTGAGTGATATTAATTCATCCATTTTTCTCTAACCGTTAGGGATCCCTGCGGTTTCTTACGTTACTTCACTTTATTTTGTCTTTTACAGGTGATACTCTCGTTCATTACGTTGTACTCAGACAATGTTCTAGCTATGGAGACTTGTGGTTTGCCAGAAGAACTTCTTGCGGAGATCTTGGATGAACACGTTCAGAGAGATCTAAGACTCTTACGTGAAGCTGGACGTTTGCAAGGCTGTCGCTACAATCCTCTGGAAAGACGTTGTTGCAATAGAAGGGATTCTAGAGGTACATAATTATTGCTTTGTATATCCGTAAAATTTAAGGTTTTATATAAGGACACGAGCGTTCACTGCGAGTGAAACGTTTAAGTGTCCATTACCAGTTGAATCGTTACAGTTTGTGAAGAGAATTCAATGGAACTGTTGTTTTGGTAACGCCAGTAAAACCAACGGTGCCTTAAACTGAAGAGAAAAAGACTGTTTTTCTAAGGACGTGGGATAAGTAGTAGCTCGCTGTTCTGAGTAATCGTTTGTTGAATGTGGAAAGGAATTTCGCGATTACTTATTATTTTACTTCTTCGCTTTACTATATAAACTAATTAATACTCGCGTAGCAGAAGCGAGAACAAACAACGAATGCTTGCCACTCAAAACTAGAGTGCATTGGTGGGTTCCTTAGAATCATCAACTTTTTGTTGTATAGGGAGGCTAATACCACCTTGTGAGGGAATGTCACTTGCAGAAGGTAACGCTGGCCAATTTGAACCTCTTACCCAACAGGTTAGTAATTACTGAGAAGCTTTTCATAGGTTTCGCTTATCGTTTGTCTCACTATAGACACTTGGTTGTTGATCGCAACGTTTCAAACGCTTACAGCTGGTCTTCATCAGATGAGGGTGTGGATGTGCCATGCGGGACTATTAGCAGTACCTCGGTTGCTAGTGATTTGTGCATTTCGAACCTCACTCGTGGTTTGGCAGTGGATGTCGATCTTTAGTATTCTATGTGTTGGAGACTGTCCACTTAGCGGGTCGCTTTGGTACTGATCGACGGCTGCGTTGTCTAATCGTTAGCACACACACCTCTAGATTCTCAGTCCTACTGTTTCTTTTTTTTTCGTACTGTTTGCTTGAAGTCTTATGAATAGGCTCTTTTACTCTAAAAAGAGGCTTCCTAACTTTCTTATAGCATCTCGGCCCTGGTGTATCACCTATGGACCTTATAGAATCTCATAGTTGTTAACCATTTATCAATTTGACTTTTTTAAAGATGGGTGTCCGGATAAGCAGCGTGGTGATATTAAGAAGGGTTCTATCGTGGTTGTCAGAATATGTATCTACATGTGTTAGCAACCCTGATTCCTTGTTGTCTACTCACCATCTTTATGCAAGCAGTGCCGAAGGCGAACTTTCAAATTCACTTTCGTACTGTGAACACGGCCCAAGCCTGGATGGAGTTCCCCATGGCAGTGAAGGTATGCGACAATTAAAGTATCACTAAATGTACAGATGATCGTGGCAAAAATTATTCCACTTTATGCCTGGCCTCGTCTAAAACAACGAGGCTCTTCAGTGTCGTTTGCTTTAAGTTATGATTACAAACACACACGCAAAAGGAAAAGTTACGACAGTTTTAAATTGAGACATGTTTCGGATGAACAACAAACATCGTCAGTACATGCACAACCCGTTAGCGGGTGTGATATAAATGTTTTTCTAAATGAAAACCTTTTCTAAGAATTATTTCTTACCCGCTGGAAGCGCAAAGATGGCCCAGATGTGATTGCATTTTCATTGTTGTATTCATTCTGTAACCTTTTAATGTTGTTGATGTACAGGTGAAACAGGTAGATGGGGTAGTTCTCCTCTCAGAGCATGCGCGCCAGATGATCCATCCCTTCATAATGGCGTTGAACACCTCTGTGGACTGGAAACAGCTCAAGTTAGGCTTGCCACTTACAGGGTAAAATTGCTACGCGTGCTTCCTCTTAGCCTAAGAGAACAGCCGACATTTGGCGACGCTACCCACTGGTTTCCTCGCCAAATGACGTCTGAGAAACGAGCGCAGAAATTCCTTACTGATGACTCGTCACTACCCAGATCTGGGTAGTGACGCGTCATCAGTATGGAATTTGTGCGCTCTTTTCTCAGACGTCATGTGGAGGGGAAACCAGTGGTAGCGTCGCCAAATGTCGGCTGTTTTTTCAGGCTAGCTTCCTCTGACCTTTGTTTTCTTTTTATAGGAATTAGTTGGTTAAATATACATTTAGGTGGTATCCAGGAATAACACGTCACACCTTCATACAAAATAGGACAAACTCGAAACGCTCTAGCATGGAAAAGAGCCGTCTCTCTTCGCTTCTCACCGCTAGAACGTTTCGCAGGAGAGACGTTTACGCTTCATCGACGCAAAATTCCATACTGATGACGTAAATCATTGTTTACATAACTGCCAACGAGCAGCGTATTAGAGCCGTGCGCGATTGTTCCAGGGGCAGAAAAAAATCTCGACTCGATGTAACATATTGTAATGTAAGGCAACATTTATGTTGTAATGCATAACAAAGAATGCATTTTTTTTGAGCGATTACGTGATACAGATCAGAGCATCCACGAGTCTTCTGCGTGTTTGTGAATCCCATGCTCATCCCGTCTTCATCTTCATCTTCATCTATTTTTCATAAATTACTGTAATTCATGGCATTTCTAAACAAATTGAACAGCGCGCGCGTATAGGTAAAATCTTTGGTCGTTGGCACTTAGCGATAGCGATAGCTATATGGTAGTCATGGGGTTCGAAATGCAAATTTGTTTGAGTTCCTTTTTTTCTGGTCTATTATAGTAAAGCTTTTAGTTCTCTTCGAACAAGCTGCAGCAAAATTAAAATGTTTCTTCTAAAGAAAAATATATTTTACGAAAAATGAATCGTATTAGTTCCTCTACAGTTTGAGACCGTTTTTCGTGTGTCGATAAATTTTATAATCGTTTGGTAAGCGCTAAAATTGCTTAAATAGTGTGAGCAAGGACGTTTAACAAATAACAAAAATATGAAAAGAAAAAGAGGGGCCACAGTTATGATAAATCATATTGAAATATCAAAAAACCACCTCTGGCTAAAATTCAAGAATACACGAGCTTTCGAGTGCCTGGTCCGCAGTTTACATTTCGCCTGTTGAAGAATGCAGATAAGGCGGTTGAAAGCTCGTGTTTTAAACTTTTTTAGCCAGATGTGATATTTTAAGACACAAATTTACACTGAACAGGGTCTTACAAATGTTTCACATGTTTCCTAGCTGTTTGTTTTCTTGTTGTTGTTGTTTATTGCAAGATTCCCTACGTCATAAAGATGCATGCTAAAATTTTAAACGCCTGTTTGTTTCAGATAAACAAGTTCTTCAAACAGATTTTGCGACAGTTGCTTGATCTCAATCTCCCAAGATACACCATCAAGAAACGTCTGAGGCCGGCCATGGACTTCCTATCGCATGAACTACGTAGATTTCATGGTGTCTTATATTCGGACTGTTTCAACAAACTTCTAGCTGATTTATGGTCGGAAGTAGTCAAGGTAAGTACACTAAGTAGTGTCAATTTCCGCCTTTTTGACTCGAGTCTCTCCGAGTCTTCGGTCGTCCCAAGGGTTCGTTGCTCCAAAAGTACAGGGAGGCTGGAAATAAGCTGTTGGCACCTTCTTTTTGGTGGACAAGCTTTAGTTGGGAGTGGTTGATGGTATCCAAAGGCAACCATTTGCCAATCATTGCTTGCATTGTCAACCCAATGGATCCCAGAAACCTTAGCACCGAAAGCCATTCCCCTTGCAGTTTAATTTGCGATGAATTACCGCGTTAACAAGTCCTTAATCGTCATATTTTCACTGTTTTTAATAGAACTTTAGTGATGAAGCCCATCGGTTAGTGAGAAAGAGGTCTTCAGCATCAGAACAAAGCAAACTCCTTCAACAAGCTGTGGCAGTAAGCTATATCTTTTTTTTTTGTTTTTTATTTGTTTTCGCTTACTCTCGTGTTTCATCTTAATCGCAGAGATATACACATCAAATTAAATGTACTGATTTTGTTACTGTCTTCTTTTATTCCCAGTATATGATAGAGTTTTTTCACGCTAAAGGGGCTGGATTATCATGTGATACACTGGCTGCGCCCATAGTAAGTTGAATACAGCATTGTCACTTGTGTGACGGCTTCCTTTCTATAGCAGTGTACTTACGCAACAGGACGGCAGAAAGGCGAAGACGGCAAAACGCTTGTGCGTGACAAACGTGACAGGGCTAGTACTTGTGTGTTTTGTCGTGATCTTTACTTCCATCAATGTTTTCTGGTCTTTCGCAAAAAGATCTGTTTAAAGGAGGGTGAAGTTTGGCTAAGAGCTTTTTTAAACAAAATTATTGTCACGCTTGTCACATAGTGTTTGCTTTTCTTTCTTCTCCCGTTCTTTCGCGTAAGCTCACTAATAATGAATAGTGAACTTACAAACCAGGACGGGAGATGAAAGAAGATGACAAACCTTGTGTGGCAAACGTGACAATAAAAATAATTCAGCAACCTTGATCAGCGACCTGGTCTATATATATATACTTTAGCCCTTTGAAACGAGGTTGTAAGTTCCTGCGACAGTGCTCATCTCTAAGGGATAGTGAGGGACGATCTGAGATTTTATCCCTGGATTTTAGAAGAAAAAGTAGAACGTAGGCATGGGGTACTTCATTTACACTGGAAAACCGGAAATTCCGGTTAGTTCGCGCCATCCCGTTTGCGATTTCATTTTTGCACTCTTTTTGGTTTGTTCAACTGATTTGTATATACTTTGTAGCGGGTCGTTCTCCCACCACGTCAAATTTTAAAGTTTTATCTTTATGCAAGAGATTACCACCCGAGTGGTGTGCGCAAATGGTAAGCATCGCTGGTGTTCGCGCATGACTGTTTTAATTTGTCTCTTTTTAAGGACGCTGTCGTGAAACACATTCAGTTGTATACCCACCCAACAAATGATCTTATCTCGATGTACCAGTCCCTTTACAAGCAGGTGAGTAACTACTGCCACATACTTACATATCCTTGACTGCTACTGGTGAGGAAGTGATCAAGGAAAAATAAAATTGAAATGAATTCATTAATACTTCATGTCCTGTAAAAAAAGGATATGCTGAAAAGGGAGAAAAGAATATACATGGCCTGCAAAGGAAGATGAAAAAAATTGCAAGTTCATGAAAGTCAAGAAATTTGTTTTATCTCAGTAAATAAGTAACCTATTTTCCATAGCCTTTTTTTCTCGCCTCTTCTGGAGCGGGAGATAGGGACGCTGCAGGGGACTGAAAAAAAAAGAGACTCTAGGGTAGAAGAGGGCAATCCGGTTAAAAGAAAGATGCAACAAAGGTCTTGAATCTTGACTGTTGAAAGACAGTTGTTCTTTATGCGTTTTTTCAGGTGCGAAATTTGCAGCGACAGTTCAGGTTAGACGAACGGACGTCGTCTGTCAGCGTCAGTTCGCATCAGGCTAGTGCCAATGCCCCCGCAGACTTTGTCATTCAGGCGTTGCGAAGTGAATTGCACACAATTCGAAAGTGCTTCTCTGGAACTCAACTTGTGGACTGGGTGAAAATCTATGTTCGCGACAATGGTCTTGATAGTCTGGGTGTGTGTATTGGAGACACAGAGACTGAAACTGGACTGGAGCTAGGTGAGATACATGTGTCAAGAAGGAAATTTTTAATTTAAAGGGGCCATGTCACGAAAATATTTCTGTTTTTGGTCATTACTGTGCTGAGGTCGTCACTTAGTTCCTTTACACATACACAAAATTCGCCACTTTGAGGTTGCGCGGAAGACCGATATGGTTGTCAAAGTGCATTGTGAGACTGTTCTTGGGGACGAATTTGCCGCCATGTTGAAAATGCGTTTTGAAAATTTATTTCGGTGAGTTTTGCAGTCATAATATTAAAACTTAAAAAAAGTTTGCCCAACTTTTTCAAGTTTCAATCTATGTTCATCCGTTGCAACAGACGACAGGAAATAGTTTCAAAGCTTAATTATTGTCTTAATAAGCAAAACTGGACTATTGTTTTACCTTTTCAGAGAGATAGCAAAAAGTGTCCGAGGCCTTTTAAGGCGAACAGATTTTAGGGTAATATTTCGGACAACTGTGCTTGAGGATAGTGCTTTTTAGGAATAGAAAGTGAGTTGGTAGAGAGTACTGGAACCTTAGCGATAGCTGGATGTTTGAAAGTGTAAATATTGTGCCACATAGAAGACGTAGAACATTTGTTTTTATGTCACATTTTGTGTCATATGTATTGTAGCCTTCCACGCCGACTTTCTTACACCTTAGTCTTGCGTACGAAAGAAGAGTAGTACTCCCCTCTCTCCTCAGTAATTAAATAAGCGTCCGGGCGCTAATTCGAAGGGGATCTTTATTTTTGTTGAGGGGGCAAAGGGCAAAGTGCTGAGCATTTGATTTATAAGCGAAGCGTCTTACGTAGACTTCCATTTGGCCAGTCACGCAACATTTTTTTGCGTGATAAGTCAAAGTTATTGGTCAGTCGGTAGTAACCTTTTTCTTGAAAATCCACGTCAGTGTGGGATTCTGGGAATTGCCTTCCCACTAGCCCCTCCGTTAACCCATCATTGTGCCCAAAGTGAGAAGCTTATAATGATCCGAAATTTCTTCTTTCTTCTTTTCTTTCTATAAACCAAACAGTTACTGGAATATTAGCCTGTGTACAGACCACCCTCCCCTCAGGAAAAATCGGGTTTTTTCTGAAGGGAGGGGGGATCTGTACACAGGCTACTGGAATATGAGGCTTTAAAGGTAAATGAGCAGACATACTGAATGCACAGGATTTTTTTGATATAAGAGAGTTGACTGACTGGAAGAGCTCTGAACGTCCATATTATTATAAGCACTTGTATTCTTTTCCCTTTTTTAAAATGTCGTAAATATCAAAATTTGCCATACTTTTCTAGGTCAGTACCTCCTGGAGCATGGAATAATTATCTGTGTTTCTCCTCCGCCACGTTTCAACAAAGAGACACCAGGCGAAAGAAAAAGACGACCAGATGGCGCGGTGCCCAACATTCCCCCAGCCGAGAGGGGTCAGGTCTTTATCGACGATGAAGGAACGGTCCCAGACATAAGGATCAATAACATTGCAGTTCAAACCATGAGCAGCAGATGTAAGTTGAAGATAGTCTGTTCACTTCTTTTAACATGGGTGTTGGTTACTCTACGTTTATGTCTTGGTTTCGTTTCTTCTATACATTTTTAAGGCCTAGGATTATATGAGATTGGGCTTACGGATGCATTTCCTTTTTCGGCAATCTAAAATTCGTCTTTGACTAAGTTAAAATCCTGTCTTGTACAATGAAAATACCTGATGATAACCTAGTCAAGGACACACGTCAGTTATGTTCAAAACGAAAATGCATCCGTAAGCCCAATATCATAAAATCATCGACCTTAGAAATGTATTGAGAGAATGAAATCAAGTTAGCAACTTAGAGTATCCCACATCGGCCATGTAGAGATCATTGTCTTTCCGGGAATGTCCTTGAATATATTACATATTTATAACTTTAAGATTTTTTCTTTTCTCTATACTCGCTTCTTTTTTATGTTTATTACTTTAAACTGATTGTGAGTATTTGCGACTGCTTGGGATAATATTTTGTTGGTATAGAGTTTGGCGGCTAAACCTGAAGGACCTTGGGGGCCCATTTCCCGAAAGACCCAGTGACGTTTCGGCCCGAGGGCAAATTTAAAAATCAAAACTTGTTGAATAATAGCACAGTTCCTAGCTCACAAATCATTCAATTTTGCTCCGTTATCTGATAGCTTCATTGTATCATTTTCAAAGTTATTGAAACTTTGATCCTGAATGCAAACACGCCAAACAAAAAAAAAAAACAGCTTTCCGCGCCCGAAAAGTTACCGGGACGTTCAATAAACGGGCCCCCTGATCCCATTGTTACAGCGCGTTGTTTAAGACAGTAAATCTCTGACTGTCTATAGCTTTTTCTGGTTTGACCATTTTAGCCTCCCCTGCGTCTTCTTCCCGCTCAGCGTCGCGATCTTCAACAGTAAATGACTCTGACAGTCAAGGTGAAGCTGATGATGAAGGTGAAGATGACGATGGAGATTTCTTGGGCAGTGCCAGTGATATATTGAATAGCATGAATAATGCTCCCTCGGAACGTGAGGTTATCTTTTACAACCACCCTCAGGCATTATACAAGTTTATAAGCGAGGAAGACACGTCAAGAACTGAGATAAAACTTACTTTAGGTATTAATGATCGGTTCCGTTTACCAGCTAAGCTAAAGCAGATTTTGTGTGTGCTGATCACAAGGAAAGATTCGGATAGAACCGCGCGGAATTTCCTAAGGGGTCTGCCCATGGAACTTTTGCGGGAAGCGCTTGACGGAGAAGAGGTTGGGTGTTATGATTGGGTGTGCCAAGCTTTTTAGACGCATAAAGTTTGCGAGGGGTAGTCTCACCGTGATTTACTACAAATTTAACGGTCTTGTTTGTATCGATAAAAACAAAATCTTAAAGTGGCCTGGTTTTGTTAGAAACCCGCAATATTCAATTATACATGAACAATTCGGCCAGTGCGATTAGGAAACAGGAGGCGTGGTTTTGCTAAACCCTTTTTTAGGTGTGTTTTATTGATTAAAAATATATCTATTATGAAAAATCTGAGCAATTTCCGTAAAACGGTAGAAACCGGTGAGGAAATAGGTCATTTCCGAGTTCCCCCGGGCCTCTGTATCAAAACGAGGTTAAGTGCTCAGCCTTTGATATGGAAATGTTGTTCATTCTCATGCAAGTAAAACTCATTTTTACAAGAAAGGTGGTGCACTTGGCCTCATTTTGAAAGTGAGGGTTTTTGGAACTCGGAAGTGGCCTATTTACGAGTACGGTATGTCCTCTCCAGACCACTTCTTCGATAGGTATTTTTCGACCATAAAAAGAGTCGGAACAAGTTTCGAGGTAACTACGTGTGTGGAAGAGCAAGATATAGATTTTATTTTTTAAGAAATAAAACTTTTTTAACGATAATATTAGAAAAAGATGACGAAGCCAGAAGATTTAAGATATTAAGATTAGTGTGATATGATTCAATTATTTTGTGGTTAGTCTAGCCTACGTTTTAACACCGTGTACAAAATTTCAAATCACATCTTTCCTCCACTAGAAGTAACGAAACACAGTAGAATACCGATTTCTCGAACCCTCAGTTTTTCGAAATTCCCTGTAACTCGAACTAAACTTAACTTCCCTTCACCAGTCAAACACTGTAATTGTATCCCCGACTTTTCAAACTTCCCGTTAATTCACACCAATTTGCTTTTCTCGAGGTGGTTCGAAAAGTAGGGATTCCACTGTAGTGACACACTTAAGGCGAAAACATTAACAGACGTCAAACGTAAAGCAAGTTACGAAATTCAGCAGGTTTTTGTAATTACATTGTGAGGTGATTGCATGATACCGGTACTCTTTTTCCCCTCTAGAAAATGGAGCTTGCTTGCGTAAATATTTTAGTCTATCTTGTTTTCATTTCTTCGTTGTCGCTGATGGTTGTTTGCCGTCAGCAACTTTCTTAAATCGTGATTTCATAGCGTTATCTGATTTCAATACTTTGTACAATATTCACTTCTTTAAAGAAACATATATGGTCTGAGGTTAGTCGAATGCAAATTGTATATACTTTAAAACTGAAAATTATTTCAACTCATAATTTCGCAGAAAAAATTAAAAGTTTGATATAATAATAGTTAACTATGACTCATAGAAAAGGACTTCATGAATAAGGACATTGGATTTATTAGTAATAGGTTGCATTGTAACGAGATATAAACGGGTTAAATTATTGGGTTATTAAATTTCAGGAACTTTCTTCGAGTATCAAATCCGTTTGAACCAAGGAGAACCGTCTGTTATAATCGCTGAAAGCCAATGTCCATGAAGTGAAGTTCAACCAGTCATTTTATGGCGGGAAAAACTGTAGTGTTTTTGGATCAGGGTCTGGAGGGGTATTTCCCGTATCCGTGCGGGATGCGGAAAACTCTAACGGGATGCGGGACTTGACTGCTCCCGGGGAAGCGGGATTCGCCAAAATTCGGGCAGGAATGCGATATTCGGCATAGCGATGACAGAACTTCGGGATGAGGGATTCTAGTTGAAAAGGAGCGGGAATTCGTGATCCGAGGATCCCCCTTTCCAGACCATGTTGAATTATTTTTGAATACGTAATTCATATAATAAATGTTTTTATTTTCAATAAAAATAAAAAGTGAAAGAACATGATCACGTTGATGTCTTGTGTTTGCTCACTTCCTAGTCTAGTAGACTTTAGATAGCTATATAGGCAAGACAAAGTACTTGGCTCACCTGGTTGTTCGTTTTCTGCTTTTCCCTTGAAGTGGTATGTTGTACAAATATACACCAATTTGACCAATTTACCGTTGTTTGTACTCTCTTGGACGATTGATCTCGACCAACGAGCTTGCAAGAAATCCCCTAGTTATTTAAGAGAACAAACTACAACGCTAGAAGGCCTCGCTAATTGTTTGAATATCTTAGCATCTTGCTGCTTGTAAAAAATACCTCGTGGTCATGTCTGTTTTGAAAGTCTAGCTGCGGTCCTGATTTTTGCTCTTAAAGGGGCTACAAGATTGGATGCGAGGGTGTCCCGAGACCCAGACAGAAGGCAAATTTATTCAATAACTGGTAAAAACTTTGAAGCATTCCAAGTGGAGGAGGCAAGTCCTTTTCGCTGCAAGAAGCGCATTACAGAATAACCCTTTCCCTCATGGACCAAATTATGCCTCGAGATGTCAAAACTCTTCAAACTGCGGCTGAAACTGACTAATTTTCCATTTTGCTTTCCCATTGTCTTTTTTTTCTTCTGTATTTCGTTTCTTTTTTCCTTTCATTTTGGTAAATAAGGCGAAAGTGGGGACAGCTTAAGTAACGTGACCATTCACGAAAATTTTCCAAACGAAAACAAACTGAAAACATCAAATATTACATTTGAAAAATTTATTGTGCTCACCATTGTACCCAACACAGGGGCGGATCCAGGATTTTTTTTTAGAGGGAGTGTACTCGTCTCTTGCTCTACTTCAAGACCAATAAACCACATGTTTTTTTTGCAGAATACCAGTTGTATTAAAAAACCGCAGGTCATCTCAGGGGGGTGCGCACCCCCTGCACCCTCCCCCTAGATCCGCCCCAGCAACAAGTAGTTGCTTTTTAAAGTCACACTCACTCTAATTATATAAATACCCATCACTAAGGTAAACATAAAAGCTATTTTTATCAGCCCAAAATGGCATGATAAATACGAAAAAAGATTGCCTTTGTGATACTAAAGCACAGAGATCCATATTATCTACATTTGTATACTTATAGCCCAACCATACTATGCATGTATTGAAGGGCATCATTCTTATAATATGACTGTACAATAATGATTTATTACAAGTGAACACAGCATGCGGTTATTGAAGATTTCTACACCCTTTATGAAAGTTGCAACTACCTTAACCAGACATCAACTAATTTGCTTCTAAAGTCTACATACTACATCGTCCTCCCATGTTAGTCATAAATTTAACAGTGACTAACACTATTCTGATGATAGTTAGATAACAAACACTCAGTGTTTCAATCACTGTGTTGTCTTTGCCCACTTTCAGTGAATTATGATAACCGTCGTAAAACCATTCTAATTAAATACATGTACCATCAGGTCCCAGTTGTTCAACGCAGTTGGATAACGCTAAGCCTATCCATTGGATAGATCTTCATACAGTGAAAGATGCAATTGGTTTCTCTAATGCTTATTCACTGGATAGTGAATTATACAGTGGATAGGGCTATCCAATAGAGATCTTTAGCGTTAGGTTTTTCGTGGAAAAAGCAAACCGCAAACCTGAGAATGTCACGTGATCACAGTCTTGTAGTTCACATTTTAACCCCAGGAAGGGCTTCCAGTGGTAAGTGAATTACGGCCACGTTTTTTTGCCTCTAAAAATTGTACAGCCCCACGTTTAAAGGTACAAAGTAGCTTTTTATATCCTCCAATGACAACATACTAGTTAGATTTTTCAACTCAAAGCTATGAATTATTCATGTCTTTGAACAAGAAAAGTGATGAACTTGAACTTCACAAAAAACATGGCGACACAAAACAAAGAATGCCTTGCTCAAAACCTGAAATCCCGACATCATGAAACTGCAAGTGTGTAACTGCAAACTGCAGTTTGCGGTTTTCCATGAAAAACTTGCTGCTAAAGGTCTCTAACATTTGAATAACCAGACCCAGAAGTCTTCAAATCATATTATGATGAGCCCAGGAAACTTTTTTTTATAATACAAGTAAAAATCTGACACTTTTTCCTATTTCCAAAAAGTACAATAAATTATCCATGTTCATATAAAAGTTATGATATAGTTCATGTTGTTCATGTATCTTTCAAGAGCTGTGAGAGTGATGCTATAAGCAGACTGCTTGGTATGTCGGTATTTTGGACTTGATAATGGGGACACATTCCTGCAAGGAAATGAACCCAAAGTTTTCAGCTGAAAGCAAAGAGCAATCACATTCTTGAACTGTTGTCATTAACTAATGTCATTTGACCATAACATAACTCTGCTCGTAAGTAGTATACTGCTGTATTGGCTTTCTGGCTACTGATAACGAGGTGAAAATGTATGATAGCTTGGGTATGGTAGAGAAAGGGTATAGGTCTTTTTTCTTTAGCTTTTGATCATAATGTTCTATTATGGCTGTGCTGGATCTAGACCTCAATATAAGGGCGGGCCTGGTCATCCCGACCCTTAGATAAGGGGGTGGGGGTTGGACCGGTGTCCAAAAAAGGTTTTGGGCCCTTCGAGCCTCAGTTTTATCTAAAAATAAGGGGGGCCCAGGCCCCTCCCCTGGATCCGCTACTGTATGGTTCAGGGTGGGTGGTCATTGCATGGTACAACCTTAAGATGGCAGGTTCAAATCCTACTCTGAAATGCAGGCATGACAAATACAGCAGAGTTTAACACCTGATTTGATATGCTTTTACTTTTTAGTTTGTAATATTATTCATGTCTCAGTGCTTGGGTAGATTGTGGGGGCTGCAGCCCTCTAGATTCTGGAATGTTTGCTTTGTTTTCAAAAACACTGAAAAATTAACATCATTCTGTCTTCTAAAATAATTAAATTTTTACATTAATAAATTAATATTTCTATGATCCTATTTTTTTCAGGGGAGGGAGAGGAAAGGGGCAAGGGGGGACTACAGGCATCTGTTGATCCCCCGAGCTTTTAATTTCTCTAGAAGATAATAATGACACATCCTAACCAATTTTAAAAGAGCTTCCAAGCTTAACCCACATCTTAGTAAAAGTATTTATGTTAAAAAGATTCAAATTATTTCAAGTGTATACTCTGAAATGCTGACTTGTAAAACTGTTATTATCTACCTTTCCAAGATTTTGTTCAAGTCTTTGTAAGGCAAGTAATATTCTTTCTTTTTGAGTTTTGTCCATAAAACGTTTTGACACCTGAAAATGTAACATAAATGCAGATAACAATTGCATAGTCAGGGAATACAGCTACAAGATTAGGTAGTCAACAGTTTATACTGCACTGTCATCTCTGATTATTAAGAGATACAAAGTCAGGCCAACACAGGTGGCATTAATAGTTTCCATTCAAAATTTCATCTTCTGATAGAACAAATCCATTATGGTTCATTATGACTATGGAAAAGATGCATAATTACTACTATTAAAGAAGCTTACTTTTGGTGTATTTTTTTCTAATCAATACAAAATTAACGTGAATTGCCCTTTTTTTCCATTTTTTTTCACAACTGATTGACAAGGACAGTGGTAGTCAGTGAGTACAAGTTACCTGTGGTAAAAGAGCCTTCAGATGAGAGATGAGGGAAGAGCCTGTAACTGCACTGAGTTGAACCAGTGCTTCTAAAGAGCTGTAGAAAACTTGAGTGTCTGTTGAAGCCTAAAAAAAGACTTTATAATAAACACAATAGCCTCCAATGCAAACATTCAGGGATGGCAATTAAAGATCCACTGCATCTTGCTCATTAAGCCGGTCATAAATACCGGTGTATATTATTCTGTTACAATGTAACATTTGTCTCTTTTTGGCACAGTGGTAAGGGCACTTGCCTCCAATGCACCAATTTGGCCCACGTTCAAATCCTGGCATTGATGCAAATGCATGGCTGAGTTTTTTGCTGGTTCTCTCCTTTGCTCTGAGAGGTTTTTCTTTGGGTACTCCATTCTTCCCGTTTCCTCAAAACCATTGTTTCCAAATTCCATTTCGAGCAGGAATCAGGTAGACAAAGAGCCACTAAGTGGATGTGCTTCCTCCAACTCATTATTAAATTATTTATTTACATATTTTTGACATTGTTTACTACAATAATGAGTGAATATTACTTTCTATTGATGTGTGGTTAAATAAAACACTGGCCAAACCCTGTTTCAATATCAAACAGACACACTTTACTTAAGTCTCAAGATTGAAAAACAGGCTAACAAACAGTAGGACCTGTACATTTTGACTACATGTATCTGAAAGGAGGGTTTCAACTCTGTATGAATTACTAAAAAATAAAATGGTAGTTAATTATGGGTGCTACTTAGTTTATTAAGTTAAACTTACCAGAGCAGCTCTGAGTGGAACAATAAGCTTAGATAATATTGGTAATGTCCGTGACCCGGCATCATCTACTTGAAGCATCTCTCTAAACCCTTCACGTGCAACAAATGTGTAAGGGTGTTTTGTTTCCCGAAGACCCTGAGAATAGTGAAAAATAATGTCAGACTCTTGATCTGTTTCTCAGAGATATAATCATGTGTTTTCTTCCAGGCTACATAACTGACATATGCTAACGTTTGATTTACTAACATGGTCAGCTACACTGTATGAAATTTACCAACCAAAACTTATCACAGAGGTTGGAAATACAGGTATGACAAAATTTTTGAAACTCACACCCCAGCCCTTATCCTACATGTAACAACGCAAATCAAACCCAGAGAAATTATTAATATTATTATTGGTACAGTAATGTTAGGGAGAAAACTTAAGTAAATGGAAAATAATGAATCCTTTGGTTTTTTGGCCGTGTCAGCCCTTTTTCACTTTAACAGACTCACCTCTGCTAATATAACTAACACAGGATCAAACGGCAAGTTATCAGGAGGTGTGTTCCAATGAAGTTTGTGTTTAACAGAGCCATGAACTAACCTAAACAAAGATGAAGAACTGTTATAAAATCCCTGAAACAATTCATTAATTACAGTCAAACTAAAGATATATAATCCCTGACTACACGTCAACAGTGACCCCTTTATTAGGCCCAAAGACATTAATATTAAATAGAGTAGAAATAAACTCGAGGCAAATAATGAAAAATGCATTTCAAGTTTGTCCAGTAAACCTGGTCACAAAACAGGCTGTACTCTGCCAACTAGGCATTTGGGCAGGGTTGTCAAAAATAGCTGGCTGCTGGTGAAAATCGCCACCTAATTGGTTAGTATCGGCTGGCTACTCTGCTTGGTATTTCTAAACGGATGGCGTTTTTTAAATAAAATGTCCCTGGACTGGCCGTTTACTTTGACAACTCAGCCATCTACTTCAAACGTTTCTGGCAACCCTGGGGCTTTCCCCCCAGATCTGACCATGGTGGCGACAGAAAGACACTTCACACAAACCAGAAGTTTAACCAAGCCAAGGCAATAGAAAAAAAGGAAAAACAGCAAGGAAAATGCGAAAGATGAAAACAATGGATACTAGTAAGCTTATGTGTCAAAAAAATAAATTACCGGTACACTAAGCCAGCACCAATCTGCAAACTCACTTTGACTCTGTGATTATTTACAAACCAAACAATATAATATTGTGTGACGGCTCAACTTCAAGTGTAGAGCGCAATTACGATAGTTTTAGTCCAGTAAATTAGTATTGGGTCTTCTTGCCTACAAGTTCCTTCGAAATGATAAATATGACCAGACCAGTAATTAATGAAATTAGCTCTCTTTAAATACAGAAATGAAAGCCATGAAAACTAAAGAGGCCTTAAAAATTACTGCATTTAAACTTACCGACATGGAACTCCACCATTCGTGTAACTTGCGGCAAATGAAGACTTCGGTGTCTTGTCATTAAACTGAAATTACAACACAAATCGGGTACGCCTTACAGGTCTAATGCTTTGTTTACTTTTTGAGCTGTCAGATTCAATTCAAGTCTACATGCAATGAGTAATCACATCTTTTGATCGCAAATTTGCCCGTATAAACCAACAAAACAAATTTTACACGACACGAATGAGATGATAAAAGTCGTTCTGATGTTAGCCAAAAAAGTTGACTGTTTACTTACTGGATCAACTGTTTTTGGATTCAAGATGTCGGACGGACGTTGCTTAGCTGCTGATTTACATCGGGATGCGGGAACCTTCGCTGCGGACACAAGTTGTTTCGAGGCACCATCAGAGCTATTGAGACGTTTGTTAGTCGCACTGCCTCTTGGAGTTGGTGTTTTACTACTCTGGACGACGGGAGAAGGAGTTTTCTTACCTCTGGAAACTACATCGCTACGGTCACCATGTAGCAATGCAGAAGCCATTTTTCTTTTGACAAATTTCCACCTAACCAGGGGTAGGGTAGAATTAAAAATGTTTGCATAATTATGCAGCCCGAGTAAAGGACTGGGGAAAGTGAGCAAAATGGCGGCTATTTTGGTGGCCGCCGCTTCTTCTCAAAAACCTGTGTGTATTTTGTTGATTTACACCCCACAAGACAAAACACCATTGAAAGACTATTGTCAGCGAAGATGCTGAAATCTGATAGAGTATTTGCACGGCCTTCGCAGCGGTAAGTTATATGAGACAATTTCATTTGACTCTATGGACAGCTGCATGGACCACTAATGTAGAGTCACTTTCACCAAATGTCGTGGATACAGTGTAATGTTTTCTACTATCCATGACGAAATCAAAAGAAGAGAAAGATCATTAGTTTAATTGAATGGTTAAATATGGTTAAAAAATAGCTACAATTCATGAATTACCTTCAGCTTTGAAACGTGTTAACAGAGGCGTCAACAAAATCTAGATGGGACTAGATGATTTGGATCAACCCATGTAGCTCGCTATTAAAATGACAAGGCATTAGGGATAGGAGCGGGTTGATCCAATCTGGTCCGATCCAGATTTTGTATACGGCCTTTTAACAACTTCATGTAACATTGTATTTTTATTCCATCCTTATAAAGAGGAACCAGGAGTGGAGTATTGCCATTTCCGGTGTACTATACAGTTGCCTAAGAAAACAGCCCACATTTGGCGTGCCACCACTGGTTTCCCCAAAAAGCAACTTGTGAGAGCATGAGATAGGTTGTGAAATCATGAGACTTGGCAAGTCTGAAACCAGTGGTGGCGTCGCAAAACCTTCTCAGGCCATATTTTAAAACTGGATCCTTTTAAAAATATGCAGTTCTTGCATATTGATCACCTTTTCAGCCATAGCTTATGTGCCATTATACCTTCCTTAGTTTCTAAAGCTGCCCTTAAAGAGGCATTTTACAACAACAATGGTGAAGCAAACACACACAGTGCCGAAATTAGCACTTTGAATGATGTAAGCTTCTTTTGTTTTTCTTCTCCCGCTGCATTGTTTGTTCACCAGGGAGGTTATTCTGTACCATGTGACTGTTTTAATTTTGTGTTCTCTCACTTGGGTGGTTGTTGCTTGATGGAATCTACATGTACAATTCTGGTCAAAATGTTTAGGACACTTTGTGTTTAGGTGCGGAAGATGTAATTCAAATTGACCCTCCTTCCCCCCTTGACAGTGTTGGGTGTTACAAGTCAAACACCTTTTATATATCTTGCACACGTTGAGGACCTCAACTTTGTTCAGAGGGGAAAAGTCTTTTCAAGGCCTTGTTTATGAGTGTCTATCACTGGTTAGCTGCAAATTCTATTTTAAAAAAACTGAAAAATTAGAGGTGTCCCAAAACCGTTTGGCCAGGATTGTAGATTCATCTTTTTAGTTTTAGGATTACCGGTAATTAAATAATTATTACCAGCTGTAGTTTACCTTCCCTTCCTGCAGGAACAGTGACATCCACAGAACAAGAGTTTTCCCTCCTAAAAAATTTATTGCTGCTCAGCTTTCAGCGGGGATAAAGACATTGTACAAAAATCTTAAGAATCAACAGAAAACCCATCATCAAGGACATGGCAAGAACCTCCAGAACCCAGGTATTTACAAGACTCAGACAGGAACATCCTATTTACATACTTACTGGGGAGGACATTAGAGAATACCCAGTACTACCGCAAAACTATGTGGAAGTGGGGAAATACCGAAATACCGGTATCATGTTGAAAATTGACTAAATACCGATACTGCATTTATGATCAGCCATGCTTACTTAAAAATGTATCCATCTCACAAGTTTGTTTATCTCAACCATGTATATGTTACAGGTCAAATTTGATTTCAGTTTTATTTTGATTTAACTAAGGTTGATTCTCATTTTCCTTTGTTTCCTAGCCCTAATTTATGAATAATTAGGACTGGTTAAACAAATTTAACTTGAAATGAAATCTGACTTGTAACATGTACACCAGCAATCAACCTCAGCGATTTCAAGAAAATGTAAGAAGACCTCAAATTGATCAGTAGAAGCCTGGTTATTGGATTAGAGAGGATAGCGCAAATGAACGGTATCACAATACCGTGAAGGATCTCCTTTTACCGAATACCATTAGTGAAAGGATGAAAAACCACATACATGTACGGTTACTGCAGGGCTAGATGATACTGCAATACCACACATTAAAATCCAAATTACCGAAATACCACTTGAAAATATGCTCAATATACTGCAATATCATAAACCCCCATGTCCCCTAGCGTGAATTTCATCCGATTACTTCAAGTCGTTATTACTCCCTCAGTAATGTCGTTGTTGAGAGGAGAAAACGACTCGAAGCAATCGGATGAATTTCAGGCTACATGTCCCCCTCCTTACAAGACAATAATACCCACAGTATTTCCTTTAACTAATTAAGTTGATCCAATTCAGGTTTTGTACCTGCCCCCAGTGCTGGAACTTGTTCTTCCTGGGCAGGTATTGTTAAGTTTCAAAATTACTAACCATAAAGCATCAGCTGGTAGTAAGGCAGTAAATGACAAGATATCATTGCAATTGCTTTAATGAATTCTTAAGCTAGGTGGTCGCTTATGAGAGCTTTGTCTGTGTGTAAATACTAATTCAAGATTACCAAATTGGCTACAAGTTGTCTGTCTCTTTCTAATTCCAGGATCTCAGACGGATAAAGGTGGAAAATTTCAGCCACATTATCCAGGTGCTATATTAACTGTATCAGTCAAGGTGTCGCTAAGCTTTCATACTAGAGCTGTAGACTGTGTGGCTCCTGGTCTGTTACAATAACCAGCCCAGCAAAATCTATCAAAATTGTGAAGAAAAGCAATCATGATCGTGCACAAACATACTTTTGACACTCAGTTGGAAACGGTTTCCAAAGTGCTTCCAGTAAAATTGTAGTAATTATTTTCATTAATTGTTTTTATGTCTGTGCGCTTTAAACACACCCCTAAAGATACATTTATCTTCCTTTGCTCAGATTTAATTAGGTTTGACATTCTTCTGACTGTCTGCAATCTTTTTCAGTTCCCTTGCTTGCTGGCAGGTACAAATTTGTTCAAGTGATCGGACAAGGACAGTCTGCAGTCATTGTTTCCGCTGAGGTGAGAAGGCAACTGCAAAACCTGGTACAGTTACAGTGTGTCTGGTAACTAAAACAACTGAGATGTAATAATAGATTACTTGTTAATTTAGCTGTTGCATCTTGCCCCCAGAATGTTCAGCCGTTTTCATTGTGATTAGGGATTATGATGGTTCTCGTCATTAAAATGCTTGCTGTTCATTACAACAGGATACCTTTCACCCTGATAAGAAACCAGTTGCTGTTAAAGTGATGAATATAGATTATGCAAGGCTTGGTGCTCAGGTGCTGTATGTAAACGTTAGCATGAACATTGTATATGTTGCATAGTACATTTTTGTTTTTCCTTTGTTTCAAATAAACATACCTAAAAACAAAGGAAAAACAACAGTGTGACGAAGAAGTGTGACGTCACATTACCATGATAGCAAAACTTCTAAATCACAACCATAAGGAACTAAAGCAATGATGACGGCAACGGCAACGAGAACAGCAAAAAAGCAATACATGTAGATATATATTCGCAAAAAAACTCTTTTGCATGTGGATCACGCGTTTTTGTACATTTTGTAGCCATCATTGCACATAATTGATAAAACTTCCTAATTTCACGCTCCCACTTTATGAATTACGTAGGTGAACACAGCATAATTTTTTTTTTTTCTAAACTTTCAGTAGATCCAGTCCTTTTAAGATTCAACCCTAGAAAATTCTGCCAAAATTTGACAGATTGGATGATATTGAATAAGATCAATGAAGTCTGAAACAGTGCAAATTCACTTTTTAAGTGATGTTTTATGTTTGTTGTCATGCAGAAATTTTGCTATCATGGGAACGTCACGTAACGACTTCTTTTCTCTATTTAATTAACTGAAATGAAAAACTAACAGCAACATCTGAAGTGTACCCCTGGGGGGGGGGGGGTACTCCCATACATTACCTATACGGGTATGTGCCGCCCAAAGGGGTCGTGATTGTGAAGCTCCTGGTTTAGAATGGGGTATCCATTTCAGACGCGGTTTCTAGAACGGGGTATAATATTTCGAATGCACGAAAGCTCTCCACTTTTGTAAGTAGCCATTTGAAAGCATTCAAGGACAGATTGCTTTTAAAATACGGTTCAGTGCGTTAAGAAGCAAACCGTTGTACTCTTGTTGCACCCTAGAATGGAGTATAAAAAATTGGCCCATTTCTAGAACAGGGTGTTAGTTTTAGGGTGAATTCTAGAATGGGGTATAAAAAATTGGCCTATTTCTAGAACGGGGTATCAATTTTAGGGCAAATTTTTTCTAGAACGGGGTGCCAATTTGGAGTCCTGGGCGGCACATACCCACCCAAAAAATACCCAAGTGCCCCCGGGAGTGTACCATATGCCACTGTTAACAAAAGATATATGCATGCATGAGATATTGAAAAAATTTTCAGATACCAGTTACTCTACACACTGTTGTCTGTTTTACTAAATATTATTGCAGCACTTAACAATGCTCTATTGTCAAATTAGGGCTTAAATGTAATAAAGAACTGAAAGATGTTTTTGGATTTATGCTTGTAATATAATTTATGATCTTCTCTTTTCCAACATCCACTTTACATATGTTTTCTTTTCATGGTATTGTTGTTCAGATTGAAACGAACTGCATGGTTGATTTGTCAAACCAACTCATGAGTTACATGTACCAGCACAGTGACAACAGTGACAGTGTGTAGAGACGTTTTGGACAGATATCTATTACTATTGTTTTTTTCTATCAATGTTACATTTTAGGAGGCAGAATTTCTTAAGCAACTGAACAAGGCAGATGGCCTCAAAGTTTCCAGAACAGTCCAGCTGTTTGTAAGTACATACCTAAATTGAGGGGTAGCCTGAAAAAAAACCTGACTGACTTCATATAACTACCAGACTCTCTCCAGAGAGAGGAACAGTACAACCTCTCTAGGTTAGCCATCTACTTTAAATGAAATTATTAGTGTTGTTTTGTTCTGTAAATAAGTATGTCTTAATAAGTCATTATTATTAATTATTATTATTCCTGATATTTTCAGAACACATTCAACTTTGATGGTCATTACTGCTTGGTCTTTGAACTTTTACGACCAAGGCCACTGCATCAATATTTTCAGGTGAGATTTTTTATTTCTATATAACTGGTCATTATACAATGAATATAATTTATCTTCAAATGTTTAACAACCTGAGAATGATCAGAAAGTGGCAAAAAGATCAATGAAATTTAAAAAGTAAAACCATCAATTAACTTTCACGTCCATCAGTAAGGGCCAGGGAGACCTTTGGCTATTTTCACCTCAAAGCAGAAGAAAAATAGAACCAAAAGAAATTCCTGTTACTGTTGATTCCCAGGCTACTCTTTGTATGAACCCAGAAACTTGAAATCTTAGTGAAACCCCTGTACTTTTATCTATTCATTTATTTTTTTGATAACCTGGTGTTTATGGACAATAATTCAGTGCCTGTCCATGTCGTTTTCTTCAATTTTGAGCTGGTTGTGAATGGGAAAGCAATGAATTGTAGAGAAATTTGTATCCTGAAAAATAGATTCACATTTAATTTCCTCATCATGGATAGGAAAGCAGTCATGTATAATTATTATGATCTCATTCAATATTGTTATTTATTTTTAGAGATGTCAGTTTGAAAGTGAGGTGAGAACTGGATAACTTATAAAAGGTTTTACCTTTACAAGGCTGTGCTCTAAGGAAAATTGAAGGGGGCCCAGTGCTCTGAACCTGTAAAATCTAGGGTGCCTAGCATATGATTTGTATGAAAAATCTGAGATTTTCTAGTCACCCGAGAGCAAAAGTTAGGCGCCAGGGGCGACCGGGCTCCGCTAGAGCACAGCCCTGCCTTTAGCATTAATTTTATAAAAGTACAAATTATACATTGTAGATATTGTATGTAAGGCTCTTTGTTATTTTGCTTTTATTGCCCAGTCAAACTAGGCCAAACTTTTCCTTACAAATTCCATTATTTGATGCTAGGATTATTTGAAAATTGACTCCATTTATTAAGCAGTTGTTGACCACTATAATTTTTGCATTCCTCAATGCATAGATGAGCAGTGAATTCACACATGAGGTGGGAAAAAATTCCTGCCAGGTCATTTTTCATTATTTTGATCTATAAATTTCTTCATAAACGAGTTAAAATTACTGAGAAGTTGTTCAGAAGTTCAAAATTGGCTGCTCATTAAGCATGCAATAAAGTAGATATCTAAATTATTTTGATGTTAGTAGTGGCAACAGTTGTTTTTTTCGTATCAAATCTATGGAGGTACACTTAACCGGATTTGACTGTAATTTTTTTGGAAGAACAGGACATGCCATTCGATAGGCCATCATTCCTTTTGTATACAATGTACATACACATTAATTAAATAGCAGACATCTTCTGTGGTAAGTGGTATGAAATCATGACTTGACTTTATTACTGGTGCTTTGAAAATTCTTTTCTATGACAGGAAACAAAACTCAAAGTTATCAGGAAAATAGCTTTACAAGTGAGTCTTTTTCAAATAAAATAACCTTTTGAAAGTGGCACCATTGTACATGTATTTCTTGGAACAGAGAGTGAAGCTGAGCTGCAAAACCTGTGACTGTGAATTATTACTGTGAAGTGAAGTGCAAGAGGTAAAATGAGGGGTTACTTCATGGATGATGAGTGTTCAGTATACCTCCTGGAAAAAAATGATAATAGAAGATACGGCAGACTTGTTTATGGTTGATAAAAAGTATCCCCTGGCTTTTACGGTTTTAGTTAATGTTATTTCAATGCCAAAATGATATGTAATTATTTTATATGAATTTAAAGACATCAAAATGAGCATCTTATATAACCTTCATGATGATGAAGTACATTTTTTTGGCATACATCAATCTATGTATGTAGCAATCAGATTGTTTTGTTTTATGTCACTATTTTAATTTGTCAATTTCAGCTTTTACAAGTTCTTGGATTTCTCAAGAGGTAAACTTATGCGATTCTGAGCTATTAATATTAACTGAGTTACAATAAACACTGAAAAGTTGGCTGGTGAAGAGATGAGAACTTCTGCAGTGTATTAGGTTGTTAGCACTATATCATTTTATTTGTATTTTATTTAAAAGAGAAGACGGCCCTTTTGTTGAATTTATAATCAAAAACATTTACAATGGAAATTTTATTTACCTTAAACAGTATGGAGTTCCCACATGGGGTCAAATGAGCCAAAAACCATCAGGAGTCTTTTTAATCCAATCCTAACCTAATCCCTGTTTTAATCACCAACACGTTCCAAAAGGCAAAATAATCTGCTACTTTGAGGTGATGGTGGCTTATTCCTCACATGCCAGGATGAAAGGAAGGAGACACTGAGGGCAGTTTAAGGCTGCCACTGGAGAGATATGTGCTACACTTACTGCCCTTTCTTTCTGATACCTGCATTTTTCCTGTGTGGCTCTCCTCCTTTTAGTTTCAATGATTCATGTGGTATGTCAGCTGTAGCAAATTGACTCCTATGTTAGTCCTTGAAGCACTTCCTTGGGTAACCCTGGTTGCATTTACCATCTTGGAGATTGCCCAAGAAAACTGCTTTTGGTAGGCACGTTCCTCTGTCGTTCTTCTATGTCCTGCACTGTGCAGTTGTGGTTGAAGCAATATAGATTCAATGCTTGGTATTTTAGCCCTTTTAAGAACAGCATCATTTAAAAATTTAATTATGGCATTTAATTCCACGAATTGTCCACAAACAGCATTGATGAAAACGTTCCACAATCTGACCTGCCTGTGGTAGAGAACCAATGCCAGGTCTCTGCACCATACCAGAGCATTTGAGGGATGAGGACAGTGAGCGATTCTGCTGACAACATTTACAGACTGTACAGTTCCAATGGAACTTCTTATTCTCTATGTTTTCATCGTAATTCAAGACTTGTTGAGCTTTTACACTCAAGACAAATAACCTTAAGCGTTACAAATAATTATCATTTTATTACACAGAGAGAATGTCATCCATGCTGACCTAAAACCAGAAAACATTCTTATCGAAGAAGGTTTGTAAATCACTAAGACTTACTTGAAATAGATGTGTATTTACTTTTCCCTGTCATAGCAAGGGCAGGTATGGCATGGGGCCAGGTAACCAGGTGACTCCATCTCTCCATAGCTGGAAGGCACATCCTGGGCACCTGTGACTGTCCCATTTATTACCCCTTTCATGGGTTACAGTTGTCAAAGGCATACACTCAGTTATGCCCTAAAAGAAACCATGTGTCCTCTGAGGCTAGGTGTCTTCACCAAGCACTTCACCTGAGCATGTGTAGGAAACTGCTTAGGCATGACTGACATCTACAAGGTGCATGCAGGTCCTTACCTCAACAGGTGAGTCTACATGGAGGATGGCACACCTACGCTTGCGTAGAGATATTTTTAGTTGATTTACGTGATTTTCAATTGTTGGGAACCCATCACCTAGAGATTCCATCTTCTGCTAACAGCATAATAGACTTTCAGCACATTTTACAGACTTCTTTTCTTGCCAAAATTTGCTGTGTTCATCAGTACATGAACTTCCCTCCCTAGTTTCTTTAAGACAAAGTGGAATGACTACTTGTTGGTAAAACTGATTAAATTCCTTAGTTTGGCACTTCATTTTTAGTGCTATGTCTATTAGGAGATCTATTGATTCATTCCAAGCATAAAACACTCTCTTAATGTCTCCAAATACTTTGACTTTATTTTGTACATTTGTTGGTACATAGTACAAGTAACAGTCATTAATCCGGGGTTAATGTATTAATAATCAGTGCAGTAAGACATTAATATTAAGCCTCAATCTGATGTCACTGGACTAAACTGACTGCACATGGGAACACTAGAAAACATTTGTATTGATGTTTAGGTGAAGAAATCAAGATAAAAGTGATTGACTTTGGAAATGCAATACGATATGTTCACAGAGAGGTATGTTGGATCATAGTCACAATACCATGATTACACTTTATATTACATGATCCATCACTTCTGTCCTTTTCATCCCGAAAGGAGTTGTACATTTAATTTGTTCTCAAACCTCACTTGTAGATAATCGATAAATATTGTATTGTTTTCTTATTGGGAATCTCGTGAGTGCTCTTATTTTTCAAGCACAGTTGACTGTGGGCAACATGTCAAACATGTCACTGTTTTTTGTGGGTACCTCAATCATGGGCATGATGGGCACCATACCATGGTCATTGTGGGCACTCTCATCTTCGTGGGCACTGTAAACATCGTTTGCCCCCATGGTCATTATAAGGAGGGACGTTCATGAAGGAAACCATGGTCACTGTGGCCACCATGTTATTTGTGGGCATTGTGGTCATCATGCACACCATGTTCATAGTGAGCAGCAGTCATCTGTGAGTATTGTCTTCATTGTGGGCACCTTGTTCATCGTGCATATTGTAGGCACTGTGGTCATCATTGAGTCTTTGCTAATTGTTGAAACTGTGATTATGGTCAGCACTGTGTTCATCTTGAGTACCATGGTCATCATCATGGGCAGGTAGTCATTGTGGGCCCTGGGTCATCATGGACACTGGTCATTGTGGACACTGCTGTCATTGAAGGCACTATTGTCAATTTGGGCATCATGGTTGTCATGGGCACAACAGTCAATGTGAGACCAATGCTTTTTGAGGGCACCTTAGTCATCTTGGACTTTTTTCGTCATGGGCACCTTGCCTAGTCCCCGTACGGCGTTTTCCCAGTCACTCTCGGTCAATTCACTTAGGTGACGTATCCGAGGCGAACGGGCGGGAAACGCCCTCACATTTTCGCTTGGACCATATTATCCGAAACGCTTTGGCTGCGCGGAATAATGAGGCCTAGGAGCTAGGCAAATGGGCACCATAGTTATTGTGGTCATTGTTGTCATCGTGGACATTATGATAATTGTGAGCAGCATGTTCATCTTGCGCAATTTAATCATCTTGGACAACTGTGGTCATTGTAGCCACCTTGGACCCACATTGACCATTATTACTGCGTTATGTTATAAATTAATGACTTGGCAGCATAGTTAACCAAGTATTTTATCTTCTTTCCCTTGCAGGTTTCCCTTTATTATGATGAGTTTGATTTACAGACAATCATTTACAGAGCACCAGAGGTAAACAATGGCTTTTAATGGCTCCTATCAATTAATTGATTACCCGTAGTAATTTCTTTCTTCCGATAACTTTGAAGGCGCTGCAGCATTATTTCGATGATTATTTTTCAAAAAGAAGCATCGCTTTTTCAAGGGGGAAACATGTTTATTCACTGCTTATTATTTCTATGAAAAGTTGGTTATAGTTAAAAAGTACTAAAGTAGTTGAAAACAACAACAGGACGTTGTGGGCGGTAACATCCAAAGTAACTTTTAGTGTTACTCTCTTAACAATAAAACCACAGATTTAAATGAAATTTTGTTTAGGAGTCACCGACATTACTCCTTCAAGAAGATATGTTAAGACAGTTTTTCTATGAAGATTCCGTTACCCCACAAGAATCCTTGCATTTCTAGTTTGTTTTAATCAAGGTCGTGTTGCATTCTCCACAGGTGATGTTTGGTGTCCCATTTGGGCAGGAAATTGACATGTGGTCCGTCGGATGTATTTTAGCCGAGGTGAAAAATTTTTTCATTAAAACCAAACTACAATAATAGACTCAGGGTACACCGTTTCTGCCTACTGGTACGGGCAGGGGAACATGTATCATCGTTCTACCTGGTGCTCTAGTTGACGGGTATGGGACAGTAATTTAACCCTACAGTGTATCTGTACATAGAAGCGGTGTATCTTCAGACAACGGTTTCGCTACTTTTCAAATTCGCTACGTTCGACTTCGCTGCCAACAAATTCGTCCCGCTGCCTATTGGCAAAGTCCAATACTTGCACCCTTGGAGGGGCAAGCTTAGAAGAACGACAAATATATGAAAAGATTTTTTTCTAGAGCGATTAAGGGAATATTTCCAGTGGTTTACAGAAATTATTATGTAGCGATTTTGTTGCGAACTAGGACGTAGCGAAATCGACGATTAGCGAAACCGGTTGTTACCATCTTCAGGCCCCAGTTGTTCAATCAATGGATAGCGCTATCCACTGAATAAGTATTAGGAAAACCCATTGCCCTGTCCACTTGATAGAGATTTATCCCGGCAGTGGGTAGCATTATCCTTCTTTTTAACAACGGGGGCCCAGTCTGTAAGACAGATGTGCTGTGACTTGTTGGGATATTTGATGAAACATAAGAAGCCTTGTTTCAGGAGAATTTTGTCCAAGTCGTGCACATTGACTACAACCCTTTCCTGTATTGTTGCTTCAAGTTTAAACTCTCCTATCGGTGTTTAAGGAGGTTGGACATATTTGTTAGAGCGATATCTTCCAAGTTTGAGCATTTAAACTACGTCGAATTATTTTCAGTGCAGAGAAAGCGGCTGCAAGTAACATAGGTCATGACGTCATTTCGTGGCTATGACAACTCAGATGTCAACATGACACTGGTCATAACAAGTTTTTATCTTTTAATGAAATTAATGTTGGTTAATGGTGACGTAATTTACCGTAAAATTCCGAAAATAAGCCCCTCCAAATATAAGCCCCCCAAAATCGTAACGGAAAAAACTCTCCTCTAAATCGCCCCTCCAGATATAAACCCCCCAGGGGGCTTGTACTTGGAATTTGCCCTCCAATACAAAGTAACACAAAGCAAAAATGGTAAATTTTCTTTCCACTACAAGCTAGCCCAATCGATTTTGAAACGCAAATTTCCCTCCGTACATAAGCCCCTCCGAATATAAGCCCCTCAAAAAGGGCCTTTGAAAAATATCAGCCCCGAGGCTTATTTTCGGAATTTTACGGTAATTAATGCTCAAACTTGGAAAGTATTGGCCCTGAAAATCCATTCAGATTCTTCTCCAGGTTACCGCCGTACGTATCTAATAACTGCGTGTTCTCTTTTTCTAGTTGCACGTTGGCAAACCCTTATTTCTAGGACGAACTAAACCTGAAATACTGCAAGTGGTGAGTAACTGATCTGCTGTGTTGGAAACACGCGAAAACAACCTCCACTCATTGGACCCCGCCGCTCTCTGGTCACTGTATTGATCTCTGTAACTGTCTTTTATCTCGTTTGAATTAGGAAGACAGAATGGCCCAATTTATAGTTTTCGGTGGAAGCGTGGTTGAAGTTGGCCTTAATTGGTGCAATTATTCCTTAAGGTGACAACGACGATTTTAAGCGCAACACAGCGTTGCAATGCTGGAAGGATGTTGTAACTATTCGTAATAATGTCGCAACAATATGGGAACGCTGTGTTACGCTAAAAATCGTTGTTGCGAATCGTCTCGTGGAACATCACCTTTAAGCTTAAAAGGAACCAGTGTTCGTTTAATAAAGGTTCCCTTTCCGCGAAGAAGAATGTGTCCGAAAAACTGGAGGCCAATGAATAGAGGCTCGATGGTAGTTTTCAACATCCTGTCTATAATAAAAGCAGGAGGGTTTGTATCAAAACAGTCAACCCAAGCACACAATGCAAACTGGCCCATTAACCCCCCCCCCCTTCCCCAATGGATGCTTTGAGTTCCTAGTTTATCTTTCGCCAGTCTTGAGAAGCCGTGTCTTTTCAAAGAATCTTTGCTTTGTAGTTATACTTTCGTGTGACTTCTTACTCAGGTAACCTCCATCCTGGGTCCCTTACCGAGGAATCCTTTCCAGTCCGGCAAGTTTTTTCCAGACTTATCAGAATTTGTTGCTCAGACTCCAGGTAAGTTTCATATCAGACGTGAAAAAGGCAGCGTTACGAAATTTGCATAACCCAAAAATGTGCTCGCAGGAGTGAAAACATTATAAAAAAGTTTGGTTTTGTTCGGAAACACCTCATAATTGACTTGCCTTCGACGGACCACGAATAAAGACCCGGTAAAGGAAGGACACTTGAAAGGAAAGACTAACCTTTTTCAAGTGGCTCCGTTAGAGAGATTTACAATCAAGTTTACGGCAAACGTCAAATTCAAGGTGACACTTGTTCAAAATAGGAGGTGAACAGATAAAACCACTGTACAAACTAATTCTTATGGATGAAACTGGCGTAAAAATATTAATTTTTTTGTGAATGTAATGAACAGTAAGCTGGTAAATGTTATTACAGTAAAGGCAAATTTGGTCACGTGGTACGAATTGAAGTTTGACGTTTGCCGGAAACGTGATTCCAAATCTCTTCATTGGGACACGGGGAAATCGTTAAAACGATACCTGTGACTTTGTTCATTTTCCACGAAATCACTCAAAATTGACCTTTTATTGTGGGAGTCTTGTGTGTATCAGCTCTCACTCCTGGGATGAATGATGGATTGTAGTGGGAATTAAATGAGTCCTGTTTGTGGTGTTCTTACGAGGCCGCGGCCTTGTGGGATTCCCGTCAAAAAACCCGGCCCTTTAAAGCCAGGACGATACGCCCATGGTAACTCACAAAAATGGTTCGACCCAAACAGAGGCTTTAACTAAATAATGAAAAGAAGATCATTGCCAAATTTTTAAAGGACAAGGAAATACTCTAGGGTTTATCTAAACTTTTTAAGTTGATATGACTTAAAGTAGCGCTTGCACATCTATTGGTGATGTTTTAAGCTACTTTCGCCTTCCTTGGTCGCGCGTACTTCTTGTCTAATGGCCTGACTGCCTTCTTGGAGCACAAAATCAACTTTCATAGGGTCGTACATGGAGTACAAACCACACACTATTTTGAGTCTAACTGTGGCATCTAGTTATTCCTTTCGTAAATTAATTTCGGTATCATATAGTGTGGAAAGGCTTATTACCAGGGTGTGATGTTTCTCCTTAATTATGCGACCAAAGTTTCATGGACCAATCATGTTTGCATGGGGCTCCACTGCAGTTTTTTCACACGTTCTGAAGAGAATTGCCGTGTTGTTACCACTTTAGGGACTGTTTATAGGGAGGTGGGAGACCCCAGGTAGGTGGGGTATCCCGCCTGTCCATATAATCTCTCGTATGTTCACCCCGCTTATCAAGTATAAGTGATGAAATTGAATGAGAGATTATATGGACAGGCAGGTTACCCCACCTAAGGTTGTTAGCTCACCTACCTGGGGTCTCACACCTCCTTATAAACAGGCCCTTAACAATAAAAGTGGCAGTAGGACAGCAAAAGGAGTTAAACTTTCTCTATTTGTTTCCTGCTTTCAGAAGCCAATCAGCTCCCCGTTGTAACTTCCTTAATGAAAAATGTACTTCATTCACGGAATTTTGCATTTGCTAGTTTTTTGGTTGGTTTGCTGCAGTACAAGCCAAGTAAGTGGGGCTGTTACTAGTAACATTAGGCAGACCACGTGACCCTAAAACGAATACTGGTTTGCAGCGCGGAATAATGAGGGCTGGGGACGAGGCAATGTAGCAGCCAGGCTGGAGTTGATCTTGTTTTGATATACTCGTTTCTGATTTCGTACGAGAATGATGTTAATTTTTTTCTCACTATTTTTCAACATAATTTGCATGAGAAAAGCTGGTGTATTTGTATCAAAACAAAGTGAACCAAAGCACTCATTCACTGTAAGGTGGGATACTCGCACCATGTAAGGGAATCCAGATTCCGGAATCCGGGAAAATTTTGGTTGTGGAATCCGGAATCTTTTCTTTTGTTTTCTTTTCTTAAGACGCTTTTTAGCTAATGGCGCTTGCCAAAAGATAGGACTGGCCAGCACGACGGATCATTATTTATGGAAAATGCAATAGGTTTTTTTATTTTATCGAAAGTTTCTCCTATCAGTGTTTTGCGGCTTTTTTTAGGAACAGATTGATCTGGCTGGGAGGTCTTTTAAAAGTAAAAGAGAATGGAGAGGAGAGGTCGTTGCTTCATGTTGCCATCGTAGCAAAATTTCTGGACCTCAACAAACTGTTTCCTGCAAGTATAGCAGAAAATATCGAAAAAATTGACATTGTATGACTTTCCTGTGGTATAATTGCACTTGGGAACAAAACGGTAGCCCATGCATGTTCTTTCTTTCACCGTTGGACAATGCCAATGACCGTCTCTGTCAAACAAGATTGTTGACATACAGAAATTTTGCCACCATGAGAACGTGACATCACACTTCTCCTCTTTATTCTGTACGACTTAACTGTTCTGACAGTGATTGGCTTCAATTTAGGAGTAATTTCAGAAGTGGGTTGAATATGATCGTCTGGGTAGTCCTGTGTAAGACTGTTGATGACAGTAACCGACGTTTCGACAACCTGTGCGGTAGTCATTTTCAGAGTCTAAGTGAGTTGTATCACGTTTAATGGGGCAGCACCCAAAGGGTTGATTTCCAGTTTCGCGAAATTTTTACGCGCGTACGTGCGTAAAATTTACGTTCGCAAATAAAATAGGGGCAATGCGTGAAAGGTCGCTGGTAAGCGTAAAAGTTGAACCTCGCTCAACGTCTCGTTTAAGCTCAGTAGTTTTTGTCTTACCTTTGTCTTATTTACGTGATTAAAATTTACGTGCGTTAACGTATGTAGCCAAACACTGAACACGTCAGTGGAAATCAACCTTACGTTTGGCTCTTGTGTAGTTTGACAATTGAACTGCATTTTTTGTGATGTAGGTGAACGGCTGTCGCCATGTCAAGCAGCTATGCATCCGTTCTTGGCTCCAGATTTACCATTTTGTTATTTGCTGCCACAACATGGAGATAGGCTCATAGGTTTGTGGTTTGTTCTATTATCACTGTCATAAAAAGGGAAGGTACAAAACTTGAAATATATAAGTGAGTGTTAGCGGCCTGAAGCGAAGGGTTATTTGCTATATTTGAATAAAAAACTCAAAGTTGAGGTGGATTTCCACTCTCGCGTAGTTTTAACTTGCGTAAGCACGTAAATTTTACGCGCGTCATTAAAATAAAGGTAATGTAGGAAAGGTCGCGTGTAAACGTCAAAGTTGAGTGACATTCTATTTGTGTTAACGCAAGACCTTTCATTCATTGCCTCTAATTCATTTACGCGCGTACGTGCGTACGCAGGTAAAAATTACGCGACAGTGAAAATGCTCCTTAATTCGCTATTTGCATATCTCCCATAATACACCTTGTTTGACGCCCAAAATTATGCATTACCTTTGTTGTTCTTTTCTCCTGGGTATTAAAGTTGTCCCAAGAAAAAAATTTAGTGGGGGGAAACAAAGTGTATTTTGGGAGATTTGCAAATGGAGAATAAGCGAAACTAACCAAAATGACTAAATGCCCTGACAAAGCGCCCCTTAAATTAATTGTTTTGCTTGTGTTATTCGTAGACTCTTCTTCTGGTTACTCCAGCGTTCTGCTTGCTCATGATCAGTATACATCTAAACCTGACATCGACGAGCAAGTAAAAAGACAGCAGTTTTCAGGGACGGAACTTCTCAGGAGAGGGACCAAGTTCTACTGTAATGATTTTACCATTGGCGAACCAGTGTCTTGCTCAGCAACTGAACAAAGGAAACAAGTTGATGCAAGTGCTTGCTCCTCAGATGCAGTTGTTATTACAGAAACTGGCACAGAGATTAAAACAGAAAAATCTCGTTATGCCACTGAAGGACCCTTTCCCGCTAGTACCAATGCTCCAACACACCCTCCTAATAATAGGACTTCTTCTGTTGGCGCCGAAAAAGATCGCAGGCTAGTCTATTCAAGAAGCAAAAATAGCCGTTTTGTAGTAGAAGGCGAAAATGAATTTTTAAGTGCGATAAGCTCTTCAGAAAGGGTCAATGAGACAACAGATTTTTACGGTGATTTAGGAAAATCTAAGTTGAAAAGGTCGACTACTGTACCTAGCTCTAGTGGTGGTGATTCTTCGTTTAAATGGAGTGATTACAGACCCAGAAATCAAGTTTCGTCAGACGTGGTGCCTGACTTATGTAAACAAAATAGAATAGTTGTGGTTAGTGAGAAAGAACCAGATGTTGGCGATGAATTTCGTGACAGTCAGGGTCATAGTAGACTTGTTTTAGAAACGCAAAAGTGTTCTTCAGGTGATACACCAAGCAATGTAGCAAGAACAAGAGTATACCACAGGAAATCAAAGCTCAGAGCCAAAGAGCAGGACGACATATGTTTAGAAGTAAAGAGGAGTAGATTTGAGGACCGGGGGAAGTCTTTGCTGGTCAAGAATCAAGGGAAAAATAAAGCAAATGGAAATCGTAAAAAGGTTGGTGCAGATGAAGATATATATTAAACAGCTTGGTTTAAAAACGAAACTGTTTTGTTGTGTCGGTGAAGAAGTGAAACTCAAGCTTTTGGTGATGTCGGCACAGTACAGAAATGCAAAACTGAGATGACTTTTCGATTGTTAACGCCTCGTCAGTGCAAATTTTGTCTTTTGTGTTGGTTATTGCTCTAATGATGAAGCTTAACTGTAATTTCCAGGTTACAACACTGATCAGCTTTAGCCTTAAAAATGGGGTCGCTTCGGTCAGTAAAATATTTTTGGGCTCTAATTTGGATCCTTTAGTCAGAGCCTATACAGTCCAATTACCTAGGGCTGATTTGACCCACGGGCTGAAATGAGTCACATAGTGGGCTTGAATAGGCATTTAATGGGACTAATTATGCTCATATTCTCCTGCTTAAATGGGTGAAATGGCTTCGACGGGAGAGGCTGAATCAGACTTTGTCCTGCAGAGCTAAATTGGCGCATGGAGTTGAAAGAGATCTTTTTTTAATTTACAATGTATATTTCCACCAGTAGCGTAACTCCACCATACGATTTGTTGACTACACTTAACTCACACCTGACGAAAGGCTATTCTAAGTATTCGTTACATGTCTTCTGGTTTCAAAGATGGTGTGATCCTTTGATGGTGTGTTTAAGCCGAAAAAATACCCTTTCTATCAGAAAATCTAGAAGAAATGTTGTGAAAGCACAAAACCTGAATCTTTGTTTTTAATCGTCACAGAATTTTTTCCAAGTGATAACAAATTAGTATAGGTAATAGCATGATTTGTAGTGATATAAATAAATAAATAAATAAATAAAGATTTGCAGGTAGCACATCCACAAGGTGGTTCTTCGTCTACCTGATTCCTGGTCGAATTGGAATTTGGAAATGTTGGTTTTTGAGGAGAGAGGAAAACCGGAGTACGCGGACAAAAACCTCTCGGAGCAAGGGAGGGAGCCAACAACAAACTCAACCCACATATGGAGTCGAAGCCGGGATTTGAACGCGGGCCAGGGAGGCGAGCGCTCTCACCACTGAGCCATCCCTTGCTCCCCGATATTTCGCATAAATACCACGAGTGATATTTCGAAATTGTTATAAGTAATTTCAAGAGCCGTTAGGCGAGTGAAACTTAAGACGAGTATCACGAGTGGTATTTATGTCAAATATCATGTACAAATCATGCTATTATTTGTTTATATTACTACCCGCAAAAGGTTTTGTGATTTTTACATGTAGGCATTTCAAATCAAGGTGAAATTCCACTGCTCTAAGCCAATCAAATTGCAGAAATTTCTCAGGTAGTAGTATAAATGTGAAAATACAGTTCGATTTGACTATGTGTATTGTATTATTGCAGGAACGCCAGAATATTTTACAGCAGGACTCGGAAAGGGCTGGATCCTCTTCTAAGTACCAAGATGATGTAAGAGTTGATATTTTAGTACCTGTGTTAACTCAGTGAACAGAAAATATCCCTTCATTCTCTTCGTTTTGTTCAATGATTGGTTGCTAGTTAAACTAGGTGTGTGAAAGGGATACCGTTCGTCAATAAAAAGGTATACGAAAGGAATACCTGTTCAGAGGTTGGACCTCGGGACGTAGCCTCCCCATATAAACATTTGTTAATTACCCCTTCCCCAGGAACAGCTGGCGCCTGACGTGACATCTTTGGCAACTGACCCCAGTGAGGTGATCTATCGGCAAGTATAATTCTGAGACTCTATGGGAATTTCCGACGAAATTGAAGTCACGACAAACGTAGAGATTAAAGAGACGAATACATTGCCCTTCCGATCAGAATGACAACGAGCGATAACGGAAAAGCAATCTGCCATAAAGTGTGCTCCACGTTTATTTCCGTTTGGGCTTATTAAGCCTGTTTCTTTTATTATTTTCTCTTCGTCGTTATCGTCGTTGTGATTGATCGAGCTCCTTATAAGCGATACCTAACAAACGAATTCTTGATAAGCGACGACTTCTTTGAAACACCGACGTTTTGTTGAACAACGCGCAACGATCGACGTCCCCGGGTACCCATAGAGAGTCTTAACCCTGTAGAACTGATGTTTGTCTTGCCAGTGGCGAATGGCAAGTCACATATCCTGTTTCCAGACGAGGTTATCTCTATTTTTAAAAGTTCTCTTCGCAGATTACCCGCCCAAACCCTCAACCAGGGCAAATACAGTAAGGGTAGTCACTGCCAGTTACTCGTGCTTCTCTTACTTCCCACAAAATCAGATCAGTTAAATTACTCTGAGACGGGGCTTGCGGTGTTTCGTCCTTAAGCAAGACCCGGGGGGTTACGCAACAAAGTTTTAAACGGGGAGAACCCGCCTCGAAGTCCAACCTCTTACCCTTACATATACTATTTTTGACAGAAAATGTATCCATTTGGTATAACTTCCGTTGAAAAATGGTACCCTTTTAACATTCCTATTTAATAAGAATACAGGAATTCTTTTTTTGTGGAATATTTAATAAATAACGTAATATAGTCACAAGACCTGACGCCTGAAAAAATTACCCCTTTCGACGCAGCCTCCCCGTGTAGGGAGTTTTCCCACGGGCTACTGTACTATAGGGGGGTGTAACAAAGGCGGGATCTTCGGCGGCGGCAACAAGAACGGCAAAAAAGCAATAGAGCGTTTTCACATGACGTCACGGCGGCCATATTGGTGTTTCAAACAAGTCCTGTGGGAGTTGAACTCTTTCTTTTGTTTCAATAAATTTGCATAGATACTGGTCACGTGAGTGAAAACGTTCTATAGGGTTAGATTAGCAAAACAACAACTTTGCAAGCGCATCACGCTTTTCTGTACATTTCTTAGCCGTCGTTGCACGACTACAACGTGAAAGTGCCTTATTTCACGTTTTGTCGAGGACGGCAACACAAGACAACAACTTTCGTTTTCTTTTCCTGAACTTTGATACAGTCCTTTAAATTTCAACTCCAAAAGAATTTGCCAGCATTCGACGAATTAAACGAGATGGAATAAGCGCGATAAAGTTTGAAGTAGCGCGAATTCACTTTTTAAGTAACGTCTTCGTAGCCGTCGCCGTCGTTGTTGCTTAAGCTCCCTAAATTAACCGGAAGTTCCGAGCAGGCGAGATATGCATATCATGCCGCTCAGTTAGCCAATCAGAAAACAGGATTCGCTTCAACCGCAGCAGTATTAGCTCAGTTCAGTCGGTAGAGCGCTTGACTGCAGAGCGGGAGGTCGCGGGTTCGGTTCCCGGGATCGGACCAGCACTCAGGGTCTCCAAATGACTACTGCCTTTGCCCTGCAAATGGCTAGACCTTCACGTGGCTCGGATGACCACGTAAAATGTTGGTGCCGTCTCCAGTAGGAGACGTAAAAATAGTGTCCCCAATTAGTACTTTTGTGCTAAAGACATTGACACCCCAGTGCATTTTTGTCCGCTCGCGGATCCAGCCATATTCTAAAGCGACTTACTGACCCTTTCGTCCTTCCGGACTCTGGTAACTCGCCCCGGTTGTTCAAACGTTGGATAGCGCTGTCTACCGGATAAATTACGATTCAGCGGATAAGTATAAGGGAAATTGCGTTATTCAGTGGATAGAGATTCATCCAGTGTATAGCGTTATCCACCTTTTGAACAACTGATGCCTCCTCGGTATAGAGAGAGTGGCCGCTTAATAAGAGTTGAACTGTACTTTCTGAACTTGACGTACCGCAAGGCCAAAAACACAAGACAATTTATGCGTTTTCAAACGAAACGCATTAGTGTGGCCGGGGTTTGTCTCATTTGTCCTTTTTTTTTCTCTTTTAGGTCGTCATTTTGCTGTGAGATGCTATGGAATACTTTGTGTAGTAATTATATAGAACTACAGATTTTTACAATGTAAATACTTGTATATACTTGTACGAACCTGTCAGTGTGTATAGAGCTCAAATATAATCGTGTAAAGTTTGCTTATCATTTTCACATAAATTATGACCTAAATTTGGAAACCGCTGAATTTCTCGCATTGGGTCTGCGATTTTGGTGAACGCAAGGCACTAATGCGCACTATATGTAGCCGAGAGATTTTCTCGAGAAAATGGCGACAACAGCAGAATTTCGACTCAGACCCCAAAGAGGCGTGGCACTATAACCACGTGACATTTACTCTGATCGCCAAAACTTTTATGCTATATTGTACATTGATCTATATGTTATCCATGCTATGTTAGACTTACGATCAAAGTAAAGGTGTGGATACCAGAGAGCTTCAAAGTAGGATGGTACCCTCACAAAATAACTCGGAAACAGAACTGTATTAAATACATATGGACTCATTTTGGGTAGCCTACCTGCTGATGAAGTGTACATCATATACTTACATGAAAGTGTGCCAAAAGTGTTTTTATCCTAAAAAATGATAAAATTTATTAAACTACCTTTTTTCACTTTTCGCTCAACCCAACCCCAGTCCATTCTTTGTAATAAAACTCTGATTCTACTTATGCGTGGTAACGCTGATTTCTTACAGTTGTTTTTATAACTGTGCTTTGGTTTTGTTCTTTGTTTCTTAAATACTTGTAACACGTTTTCTTCGCCCCACCTGGTAGGCTCAACTTCTTCTTGGAGGATTCAAATTTTTCTTTCATTTTTTTTTCCTCTCCCTTTTTTTTTTTCGGTATAGACCCTCACAACCGCAGTACGTAATCCCTTCCTCAAGGCTCGCTCGTTTTCCAGTATGACAGCTGCTGGAGTTAGAGATGACCATTTTCTCCTATTGCGCTGCCATAACGATAACCGAGAGGCCCTGAGGACCAAGTTTTTACGAAGCACGCTTTCAGTAAAATGTAAACACAGTTTTTTTCCTTTATTGATACGACAACAAGAACACCAAAAGTCTGCACGTTGTCAAAAGCAAACAGCTTTTCTTTTTTCTGTTTGTGTTCTTTAAGGACTATTGGACCCTCCCCCTCCTCCCTTTCCCCCCGAAAAGACAGCCAAATAAGTTTGCTAAGTGTTTCTTTCCGCGGTTCTTGAATCTCAGATGGAGGCAGTGAAGTGCGGCGAGAAGTCAGAGAGCGGGAAAAAAATAAGGAGGAAGAGAAGGAGAGAGTTTCTCACCCCCTACCCCTCCCCCTGGCCGTTTTTTCTGTTCGCATCTCTTTACACCGTCCCAACAATCTTGACGCCTGGAAACACTTTACGTCTCTTAGGTGCACTCCGTCGAAAAAATTTGCTAGTAAATGTTTTTCGCACTTTTATTTAAAAAATGTTTAAGGGAAACTGCTTGCGGAAATGTATAGAAGAAATAGCAAATATAGCAACAATGACAAATTAAACAACGATTGCAAGCTGACGCAAAAATACGCTATCAAATATCGCAAGAATAAACAACAAATTAAGCGAAAGTTCAGCTTTATAAAGAAGAAAGGCAAAGAAGGCCCTCTAGAAGTCCGCAAATTTCGCGAAAGTTACAAAAATTTTTCTTATCAAAAAACAGACGTTACCAAATATCGCGAGAATAAAAACGATAACAAAATAAACACTTCTGGCGAATATTTTTCAGAGATTGGTTCCTGTTCTCTATTCACACCTGCCATAGGTAGATAAGTTTATTTAGGCCTGGCGATGTAGAATGAACCAAGGTCTGGTTTGAAATAAGTACGAGCTACATCTCAGATCCAACTGGAAAGGACATCAACGAAGACTCGAAGATCGGAGGATGCTGTCCTATTTCCCAAATAGAGTCACACAATGCAGCCTGAGACGGGTGACCCGCAAATTCTGGTTTCCTTTCATACCTGGCGAAAGAAGTACAGCAAAAGATACGCTTCATTGATTTGTCTGAATTCTATGTTCCGTTGGGAGATTTTTAGCCTGTGAAAACATCCGTTTCTCCTCGCGCTTCACCGCTGGGCACGTTTCGCGCGAAACGTCCCCAGCGGCAAAGAGCGAGATGGAAAAACGGATGTTTTCGCAGGCCCCTTTCCTACTCGCCCCCCGGAAGGGTCGAATTGGAGAGGCCACCCTGACTTGTGTTTCACCCACCAGGCACTAGACCATTTTCGAGTTACCCCGGGTCTCTGTATCAAAACGAGGTTGAGTGCTCAGCCTTTGATACGCAAATGAGTTTTCATTCTCTTGCAAATAGAAATCATTTTCACAAGAAAGGATGTGCCTTTTAAAACTCGGAAGTGGCCTATTACAGTGACGCCTGTTGAGGAACTGTTCAAAGAAAGAATTTTAATTCTTTAAATTAAATTATTAATTACTTTTGAGAGGTTTAGCAAAATATCGTGATTTGTCTGTGGCGAGCGGATCAATTATTTGCCGAAGCCCAAGGCTGAGGCAAATAATTGATCTGCGAGTCACTGACAAATTACGATATTTTGCGATAACCGAGTTCAATAGTTGTTTTATCATTCGATCACCGAGTTTGTTTTTCTAATGAACATCCTTGGGAAGCGAAACGATCTGCCATTTTCACGCAAGAAAGAT